GTTTCTTATTAGAGGCAAAGGATGCATCTATAATTTGCAAACACCAATTAGTAAAGACTGTAGCTAACCTGTGTTGCCACAGACCAGCCCAGTTGGGTTCCCTGTGTCCTCGGGAAAATCAGGGTATTTGGCTATCAGGAAGGCACAGTTTCAGGCGAGTTGACAGAGACGACACTGAGATCACTTTGACTCTGCTGTAATTTTACTGAAGTCAGGCTAATAATTTTATAGTGATATTATAAGGAAGCACCTTAAAGTTGGCATGCTTTCCAGAACATTCAAACTTTTACCAAGGATACAAATTTTATGTTTTAACTCAAAAGTGCAGCTAAGCGTAAAGCAGTGCCCACAAGAAATCTTGGCCTAGGAACTTTCTGATCAATGCAAACAAGAAACAAAAACCTCAAACTATGGTTTCATTATCACTGACTAGTGAAGGGGAAAGTCAGGAGCTGTAATAGTCCTCCGAGCCAAGTTAAATACCTGTCAAAGTCTTTTTCTACACTAAAGTCTAAATACACCTTGGCCAACCATCCTCCCAACCATCTTGCTAAAGATTTATAATCTTCCTTAGAAACAAGACACTAAACTAAAGGGAGGCATGCTCAAGCCTCCTGTACTTGCTTATGCTATTTTTTCCTAAGAAGGAGCCTATTATTTCTTTTTCTATTCTTATAATGCTTTCTGATACTAAATCTGACTCATTACTTCTTTTAAAATTATTTTTCTTTCTTTTATTTTTATTAAAGCTTTTAATAATCTATCAAAAATATATTTCCTTGAATAGTTAGTTGTGCTGTACCAGGAATCATAGAGAAAAATCAAAAGGCTCATTCAATCCTTCATCTGAGAAAGCAGGGTTTTCAGAGTACATCTTTTTGGCGTAGATGGCCAGGGGGAACATCCAGTGACTTCCAGGGAGCGGATTCCCGTAGGAAAGTGTCTCCTCATCTTAGCAGCATAATTTTATGCTTAAGTAGCACATTTTTATGCTCACATAGACTCTGGAGTTAGTGTGGCACTGTGTCATTCTCTCTTGTGGCACTCTGGAGTACGCCAAGTCTGAGGTTCTGAAGCTCCACATTGTACTGTTGAATAAGAAATAAACTAAAAACTAAAAACGAATGTGTCTAGTGCCATGGTGGAAGAAAGCAGGCATATGATGGGGTAATGCTCACACAGAGGTAATGCTCTCACCTGCATTAGGGCATGGGCAGGGCTTTCCAGGCGATATGATGCCCGAGGAAGGTCATTCCAGACTGTGGAGAGAGCCTGCACAAGAGGACAGGCAGGTGGAAACCCAGCAAAGATTACAGACAGTGCAATGTGGCCAAAGTGAAGTGTTACTTTGAGGAGTCAAGAGACAAGATAGAAGAGTAGACACGAGATGCACTATAAACGCCAGCAGACAATGGGCCTAGGAGCTGGTGTAAGCTTGTTAGGTTTCAGATAAAAATCACATTGGCAGTGGTCAACACTTTGCAGAATGATGTATTTTTAGAACACAGTTTACGTAGTACTTGTCAGGTGAATGGATCAGAAATTATTTTCAGCTGCATATAACAGAAATATCATTTAGCATCAACGATGTGCTGGTTAGGTGACGTCAACTTGATACATATTAGAGTCACCTGGGAAGAGGAAGCTTCAATCTTGAGAAACTGCCTTTCTCAGACTGGCCTATTAACAGGTTTATGGGGCATTTTCTTGATGATTGATGTCAGAGTGCCCAGCCCACTACGGATGATGTCTCCCCTGGGTAGGAGGTCCTGGGCTGTATTAAAAAGCAGGCTGATCAAGTCACGAGTAGCAAACCAGTAAGCAGTGTTCTCCCATGGCCTCAGCTCTAGTTCCTGCTTCCAGGTTTCTGTTTTCAGTTCCTGCCCTGGCTTCCCTTGGTGACAGACCATAAAGTGAAAGCAGAAATCAACCCCCTTTCCTTCCAGATTGGTTTTGATAGGTATTTTTCACAGCAATGGAGCAGCAAACTGATACAAAAACTGGCAGCAGAGAGTGAGGTATGACTTGATGGACTTAACCATGCTTTTCTTTCTTTCTTTCTTTTTTTTTTTTTTGGAATGGACTGTGGTAGCATTTTAGAGGTTCAACCTAGAAATGTCCATCGACTAATCAGCTCTGTACTATTATGGCAGAAAGGTAAAGATGATGGAGGCCTCCACTGGGAATTTTCAAAGGGAAGCAAAGACTCTATCAGCTGTTTGTGTGATGTACTTGAATTAAGAATCTGTGGACTGAAACCTTTGCTTTACTAGAATAATAGATGCTAATGAACTCAGGTTAAGTAATCAGCTGTGATTAACAAGATACCAATACCATTAAGATGAAATCTTTCAGGAACTATTTCCTTGGGGTCAGCATCCAGAAACTGTTGTCCAGAGAGGACAAAATCTTCATCTCAAGCTGGGAATCACATTTGGCAATGTCTGTTTCCCACGTGTTACTGATATTTGGTGGCATGAGAACTGAAACGTTGAAGGGGCCATGGAGAGCAGATGAGGCTTGGTTATGTGACCGAGAGATGCTGCTGGTGGAGGTGCAGCCTTAGCTGCAGTGCTGATTCCAGCACATTGGAGATACCAGGACTGGGACATCCACCAAGGATAACAGCAAATGTAGGATGGAGCTGCCCTGAGCCTATGTGTGTGCTATGGGTGGCAGAGCCACAGAGGTGGGGCTGCTCAAGCCTTTTGGAATTAGAAAATCATGAGTGAGTCCTAGATGCCGGACATTGAAATATAGGAAATGATTTGCAGCTGGATTTTTGTTTGATGTAATTGTTTTCATGCCCCAGTTCTTCCATTTTGGAGCAAGCATTTGGTTTTGATTTTTATAAAAGTCTACAGAAAAGAGATTTTAGACTTTTTTTTGTTTTTTAAAAAGAAAGAAAACTTGGACTTTTAAATACTGGAATTTGGACCTTTTCAAATGTAGAAAAGGTACTTTATGGTGTGCTAGTCATGTAAGATCTTGGGAACAAACAAGAAAGGAAAAGTTAGGGGTTAATAGTGATGGATCTGTATGTCAAATTGGCAAGGGGTCAATTTTGCCAGTTAGTTCATGCCAACTTAACACAGAGTCATCTGAGAAGAAGGAGTTGAGGAGTTGTGCCCATAAGGCTGAACTGTGGTCGAGTCTGTGGGGCATTTTCTTGATTAATGATTGGTGTGGAAAGACTTAGTCCAGTGTGGGAAGAACCACCCTTGAACAGGTGGTCCTGGGCTATACAAGGAAGTAGACTGAGCTAGCCACGAGGCCCAGGCCATTAAGCAGCATTCCTTCATGGGGTTTGTTTTCAGCTCCTGCCTTTAGAATTCTGTCTTGGCATCTCTTGAGGATGGACTGTAAGCTGTAAGCTGAAATAAACTCCTTTCACTGTACAAGTTGATTTTGGTCTATGTTTTCTCACAGTAACAGTCACACATTAGAAGAAATGAAGCCTTCAGTGGAGCGTGCCACTCCTTGGCTAGAGTACACAACTGTTTTCTATTCCTGCTGTAGTCTGTGTGGCTACTGATCCCTCAGTTCTTTCAGGGTACGACATGTCTGGGTGGGTGTTATACATAGGTACCACATCATGCCATCAGCATCTTGACTTCTATCTTTCCTTCATTTCTGTTGTTTTTTGACGCCTTAGCTACTCTTGAGCTCATTATGCAGTCCAAGCTGACCTTCAGCTCTTTTTTATTTTAATGTTTTCATTAGCATATATTAATTATACATAGCAATGGGTTTCATTATGGCATGTTCGTAGATGTACATAAAATATTTTGATCATACCACCCATTTCCTTCTCTTAGTCTTTCTCTCTTGCTAATATCCTTCCTCTTCCACCTAGCCCCTTTGTGCTATTTGGTATAATTTTTAAAAGCTTATTTATTTAACTACTGGTGTGTGTGTGTGTGTGTGTGTGTGTGTGAGAGAGAGAGAGAGAGAGAGAGAGAGGATGCAGAGCCATGCTTACCATGGTGTGTTTGTAGAGGTGAGAGGAGTTCTTTCTCTTCTTCTACTATGGTTCTGGAGATTCAATTTAAGTTGTCAGGTTTACATTAAGTGCCCTTACCCACTGTGCCATTTTTCCAGACCCCGTTCCTCATTTTCTACTTTCATGTCTTTTTTTTTTTTTTGTAACCTAATAGATTTCATCACCATTATTCACAGTTGTGTGCATGAGAGCCCGTTTATAGAAGCACATGTACTTCTGTACCAGTGAATCATCACCAAAGAAAATGTCTCTTTCTCATCAACCATTATTTGCAGATAGATCCATGCAGGAACCCTATGAGCCTCTCCCACTTTAATGACAGGGTGTAGACGGGTCAAATTTTGTGGTGATATTGTGCCTGTGGTCACAGCATCAGTGAGTTTAAGACTGCAATAGCATGTCATACACAGACGTTAGTATCAAACCCTTGATCCTCTGTGCCTTTGCCTCCCAATTGCTAGCCTTGCCTTGGCAAGCATGTGCCAGCATATGTCAGCTAGCGTCAAACTTAGCCAGCGTGTCTTCTAGTAAGTTCTTACAAGATTGCTCCTACTCCTAGTGACATGGTGGCTGCGTCTTAGGCAGGGAGAAGGTGAGGGGGAGTGACGTCTTACAGCAAATTTGCTCCTCATCATCAGTGAGAGAAATGCCACTTTGGAAGATACTGTACCAAGGCTGTGCATCATGATTGTCCCAGCTACAATAGAACTTCAGAGAATGAGTTTCCTCTTGGCGTGCTCTTTTAAACATCAGACATGTGTGAATCAGAAGAAAAGGAGGAGGACACTGGGGAGGATTTAGGATGGTTTGCCACTGCCAGGGTCAGGAGATAAGCCATTTTGTTTTCTCAAAGTGGATACAATATCAAAAGCATTTCATATTTATCATTTCAAGTAAAAGTTCTGTATACTCTACCAATTTGTTTCTAACTTTTGCTGTTACCTGACAAAACTGCTATTCTTTCTATACATGTTTCTCTTTATTCTTATTATTTTAGATAAAGCATATCTGACTCTAGCTTCAGATATGGTAGAAGCAATTATATTGAATGCCACCAACACCAGCCTCACACTCAAGTTACCTTCAGTCAAGAGAAACCTCACGTGGCATGGCATTATCAGCCCCACACCAACATACCTGATTTACTATAAGGAAGCCAATAGGGCAAATAGCTCTGACGAGAAACACGGAATGCTGGTAAGTCTGGGGTGGCTGTCTTTATAAGATGCTTTTTTTTTTTTTAATGTAAACTCTTCACCCACCTGTTCTGACAAAGCTGTTTTAAACTTCTTTATTTTAAAGCTCTTTCCTGTCAATGACTGATCAAAGCATATTGGTTTCTAGCCTTCATTCCTGGGAGTAAGTTAAACATTAGGGAAACTTATTAACACTAGCTGTTGTTATGGTTACTTGTTAATAGTTACTTGTCATGGTAACTATTGCTTTTGGGTCCCGAGAGAACAAAGTTTGTTCCCCTCCCTGATTGTCCCCAAGAGTGATAGAACCTTGTTCCTATGACTAAGCCATCAAATAGAAGTGCCAAGGAGTGAATGAGGCAGAAGGGGATGTGACTATCATGTGTCCGTTCATAACACTTATTTAATTTACAGAATATGTTTTTGCCGATTTGTTCTTTGATGTAATCTAGGGGCTCCACCTGCTTGTCATCTGTCCTTGTTTCCCTAGTTGTGTGGGATAGTAGACATGTATTAGACAATGCACTCATTGTCCCTGGTTTTCTCTGTCTCTCTGAGACAGCATCTTACTGTATAGTCTAGCTGGCAAGAACTAGCTCTATAGCCCAATTGACCTTGAATTTGCTGCAGAATGCCTTGCCTCTGGTCTCACGGCGCTACAGGCATATATCATTGTGCCTGGATCTAGCTATTTCTTGGATAAATGAATTGCCACTGTTCACCCCAATTTGGTGTTGTTTGGTGTTTGGCCATTAGAGTAACTAAATAATCTCTGTCTAATATTTTGCTTTGTGCTTGTTTTATTTAAGTAATTCAAAGAGGGGAAATTGATTATCAGCTTTAGGCATTAGATACTGTGCTCTAAGTGTACATTATTCTTTGGATCATTTCGCTGATCAAGATATGCTATGACTCTTGACATTTTTGTTTTAGACCTACTATAGTTTCCTGTCTAAAAATTGATTAAGATGGGTGAAAGTCAGTGATTCTCAACCTTGGCTTTACCCAAGACAACTCAGTCAGAATTGCCAAGGGTAGCACCAAAGCACAGGGTGTTTAGAAACCTTCTTGTATGGTTCTAGAGCACAGCCAGCATTGAGAGCTGAGCCTCAGGGATGTTGTTTACTTCACTAGACCTTCTTTATGAGAGTGCTTAATCTTTTTTTGTTTGTTTGTTTGATCTTTTATTGTACTCATGGAAGTTTGCAAACTTTAAATCCTATATTGCGCTGCAATGAGAATGAAATACTGCCCTCTTCTGGATCTCAGTGCCCTGTGAAGTGAGTCATTTCACATTTGCCCAGAATTGCCTGCCAATCATTTATCAATTATTCATGGAGTTAGTAAACAAATAAAGTCTGTTAGATTAATATAGTAGTCTCAGGAACAATCCAGAATAACTGCTTTCAGTCATTTGTGTGAAATACAGGAATCAAATACTTATTTAAGAATTCAATTACAGGAATCACAGGAGAATATAGCCCGCATTGAAGGTTTGCAGCCATTTTCAACATATGTGATTCAGGTCACTGTGAAGAATTATTATTCAGATCCTTTAGAACATTTACATCTGGGAAGAGAGATTCAGGGAAAAACTAAGAGTGGAGGTGAGTTGTGTGTCAGTGTGGATTTCAAGTGTGGAATTCTGATACGCATGATGTACATGTCTGTATTTTTTTTTTATCTGAATGCTGAGCAATCATCATTGTGAGAACACTTAAAGTTCAACCTGGGGAAAACACGTTAGCGACTTGAGCCTGGCTCTAACCCTTGGCAGGACTGGGTAATATCCCAGCAAAGTACAAAGTAACTAGAAGGTAAAGCACCAAATTATAGTTAGACCAAGAAACACATTCTTAGTTCTTGCCACACAGTGTCACTCTCTTCCCATGTAGTCATAGGTCTCTGCACATGTGTCAAGACTGGAAAGCCAAGATGAAATGTGAAGTGTACTCAGTGCCCTGAGGCTTAGAGCAATATAGCTTCACAGTCTCAAAAACAGCAGACTGAGAATCTGAAGGGTGGGAACCATCTCTTCCTGCTGTTTTTGATGACTGTCACAAAGCTCCCTCAAATTGCAAAGTTCATCACTGGCTATAGACCTGAGCCGGCATCAGAGAATGATTTGGTCATTAGGCAAAAATAGACAACATCTTTCAGGCAGCCTGTTCACTTCCCACTCTGTAAGTGGCCAACTTTCCTTTGGACCTCTGTAGCTCATTCTGCTCACCTGATAGCAGCGTTCCTCAACTGACTCTCTTGGTTCTTTCCACCACCCGGTGCTGTTGCAATGTCCCTTATCCTTCCATGCTATTTATTTTCAGTGCCCGGGGCAGTTTGTCATATCAATGCAACTGTGCTGTCTGATACCAGTCTCCACATACTCTGGACAGAATCACATAGGCCAAACGGACCCAAGGAGTCAGTCCGCTATCAGCTGGTTATGTCACACTTGGCTCCGATTCCTGAGACTCCTCTAAGAAAGGGTGAATTTCCAAGTGCCAGGCTTGCCCTCCTTGTCACTAAACTGTCTGGTGGACAATTCTACGTGTTGAAGGTATTGACTGTCTTGGGCACTTCTAGTTGCCATATTTAAGCTTGTGTTCTGAGAAGACTAAAGCACTTTTTTTTTTTTTAAACAAAAAGGTGCTGGCCTGCCACTCAGAGGAAATGTGGTGTACAGAGAGTCATCCTGTTACAGTCAACATGTTTGATACACCAGAGAAACCTTGTGCCTTGGTTCCAAAGAATACCAGTCTGCAGTTAGACTGGAAGGCTCCGGCTAATGTTAACCTCACCAGCTTTTGGTTCGAACTCCAGAAGGTAGATTTTTGATACACATCCTTATTTTATGAGGTACAATAAGCTGGAAAGATTTTTTTGTATGACTAGAATGTTCTCTTGTGCAAATCAACAGTGCTTGCCAACATTCATTGGCTCAGATTGGCACGAGAAGCAGTAAATTATCCAGGTAATGTTCTGTCCAAAGCTGTGTCCAAGGTTCAATTTGCTCTTAAGGGATGGCAAAGTGGTTGTACGGTAAGGGTGTTTATTGTCAAGCCTCAGGACTTGAACTTGAGCCAATGGAACTACAAAGTAGAAGGAGAGAACCTGTTTCCACAAATTTTTCTCTGCTCCTAGACGCAAGTATTGGCACATGTGTGCCTCCACTCCTGCCCCTCCCCACACTAAAGAAATGTAATAAAAACCGACTTTAAGAAGACTCATGTAGGGGCTGGGGAGGTAGCTCAGGAGACAAGAGCACAGATTGCTATTTCAGAGGGTCCCGTTTTAGTTCCTAGCACCCACATGGCTACTCACAACTGTCTCAGGGGATCTGACTTTCTCTTCTGGCCTCCAAAGTGCCCCAGGAGCACACATGGTACAGTGACATAGATTCAGGCAAAGCACCTGCACACATAACATTGTAAGAACCCATGCAAAACTGTGTAAGTTAGCTTACTAATTTTATGTAAAATTAGTTATCAATAGCGTAAACTTTATTTGTATGTTTTCAGGTTTAAAATCCGTAACAAATTTGGTGTTTTCTATGAAAAACATCATAAATGAACAAGCAAAAAAAAGCCAAAGCCTTGTTCAGAAGTGAGCTTTCAACATTTAAGTAGAGTGCAACAACAGAAGAGAAATAAAAGTATAAAGCCACTTTATTCCTGAACTAGTTTGCTGTTAATTCATAAAGTTTACAATGTTTCTGTATTCAAAATTCTTCATGCTTTACTAAATCAACTGACTTTGAAGATGTCAGTTCATTGTACACTGTTAAGGGAAGTTATGCTGACTTTCACAGTGGTGCATCAAGAATATATCATTAAGATTCTATAATTGCTTTTGTCCTTCTTATTGTTATCTAGTTGTGTGCATGTCTGCATACACACACACACACACACACATGCATGCTTATGTGGACTCATTTGTAAAGATGGTTCAAAACCATTTTGTTTTGGAGTTACTTAATACAAATTACTATTGTCAAGGTCTTAGTATTTCTTTCCTTTTTTTTTTTTTTAAGGAAAAGATTTATTTATTTATTTATTTTATGTATGTGAGTGCTCTGTTTTCATGCACACCAGAAGAGGGAATCACATTCCATGTTTGTGAGCCCACATGTGATTGCTGGGAATTGGACTCAGGACCTCTGGGAGAATAGTCAATGCTTTTAACCCTGAGCCATCTTTCCGGCCCTCAGTATTTCTTTAAAAGTGAAATTGCTCCGTGGTGGTCCCCCCCCCCATCTTTCAAAAATAAAATTTAAATTTATTCTTTGATGATTTCGTACATGAATATTATATATTTTGATCACATCCATCCCATTCCACGCTCTTATTTCCTCCTACTTTCTCTTGATAATATCATGCATGGATATTTCATATTTTGAGTTCATCTCTCTGATGATCCTTGCTCTTACCCTCTCTCCCTCTGGAAATTCCCTTCCTAACATATCCTCCTTCTACTTTCATGTTTATTTTAGTAGCCCACTGAGTTTCATAAGAGTTGCTTTCGTATACATGGTATAGAGTTATTTACTGGGTCTTGGTCAACTTACCTGTATCTCTGCCCTTAAGGAAAAATGACTCCTTTACCCCAGCAGCCATTAATAATCAATAGCTCATTAGCTAGGGGAGGGACCTCATATGTTCCTTTCCCATCTGTGCTAAAATGTTGACAGTATCATTTTGTTCTTATTCATCCCTCTCTTCTGCCCTTCATCTATGTCTTCTCGTCCCCTTCCTCTCTCCAACAGCAACCCTTTCTGCTTTCATGTCACATGAATTTGACGGTTTCCTTAAAGTCTCTCCCTCCCATCTTATGGTCCCTTTTCTCTTTGTAGGTTTTAAAAACTTCTACTATATAAGATACTTTTTTTTGTGATTTTGTACTTTTTGGATAAGACTGAGAAAATAGAGCATCAAATGGTAAAATTTGAGTATATAGCTTTTTAAAAAAATATTGAAACTGTTTTAATGATTTACCTATTTGAAATGGTGACCTTATAAAAACCTAAGGCTAACATGGAGAAATTGGTGGATTGTTCTCTTTGGGACTTACTTAGGAAGCTTAATGCAGTTCAGCATAAAGTCAGGGGGAGGGGATGTTAGCATTGCTTCCCAGACTGGGGAAGACGTGGGGGTAATAATGTGCTGGTACCTCACTTTCTTGATGAGAAGACACAGACAGAGGTAGATACTGTAGTCAGTTTATGTCACCTGCTGGGTACAGAAGATCCCCAGGGCTGACACATCCGTAGAACAGTCCTATTTGGGTTTTGTCCACAGTAGGAACATGAGTCATTGAGTCAGCTGTCCCATTCCTCAAAGACTAGGAAGAAAACAGACAGGGTCCTCCTGGTCCAGTCCTCATAATTTCAAGGAGGTGCTACCATTGCTACACTCCCACTGTCCCCCCATCTTATCAGTACAGGTCCATCATGGGCCATGTCATAGAAAGCCATGAAGCTACTGGATGTATAGAAATGCACACTTTTAATTCCAGCACGTGGAAGAAGGAGGTAGGAGCATCATGAGTTTGAGGCCATCCTGGACTGTGCAGAGCAAACCCTGTTCTTTTTTTTTTTTTTTTTTTTAGTATAACATGAAGCTGAAAGTGACCCTTTCTGCATAGGTGACAATCTGTACTACAGGTGCATGAGCAAAATAGAAGGCTCTGACTTAGAACTGTGGATAGATGGATGCCTCCAGCTGGAAGCTCCATCTTTTCTGAGCAACTTGACTTTGTCTCTTAATGATAATATGGCAATGATCCCATAAATCCATTTTGAGACTCTTGGAGGGTGAACAGTGAGGGGAGATAGATAACCCGTTTAATTATATTTTTCTTTATAAATGGAAGAACACTATGGCAAAATTTGTTATTTTGACACCATTTTCAAAGACAAAAGAATATAAGCTATGGGTTTATTTATTTGTTTTGAGACAAGGTCTTATATAGTCTAGGCTAGTCTTGAATTTTGTATATAGCTGAAGATAACCGATAACCTTGAACTTCTGATTCTTCTTTCTGTCTCACCTTCTACATGCTAGCAGTAAGATGTGCATCACCACACCTGGATTATTTTATTGGGGATCAACCCCAGGGCTTTGTGTATAATAGGCAGGCACTTTACCAACTTAGCTACACCCTCAGCCCTGAAGCTAACTTTTCATCTATATCCTGAATTACACAGGTTTTTAAAATATCTAAAAAGTGTATTTAATAAGAACATATTCAATTTAAAATCAGGGGAAAGTAATTTTAGTTTGGCTTGTTTTCATAGAAGTCTATTAAGTTGTATTTTTCCTCTTTCATTTTTGTTCTTTACTGGAGCTATGTGTTTCTGAAGTTCTGATCTACATGATACAATAGAGTAGACATTCTTCCAAACTGCACAAATAGCCATTCAGTCTCTTCTGGGGTAGCCTTTACCCCTGTCCTTGTTAGCTTCTGACAAGTAGAAGGTTCCAACTCCCTGTGATTTTTCTGGGATAGCCCACTATAGCTGCCAAGTTGGTGGCCGGCCCAGAACATTCACTACTGCAGAGAGGCCAATCTGCTGTCAGTTTTCCAGCAAGTACTCTTGGTAAACATCTCCCCTGCATTTCAGGAGCTCTGCTGATTTCTAGATGTTGTAGAGAGTTGAGTTCCCTAGAAGGTAATTTATATACCATACCATTAAGAAGGTGGGAGCTAACTAGTTAATGTTTTAGAGCTGGAAATCATCATTCTTTCTCTCTCTTCTTCCCCCTCCCTCCCTCTTTACCTTTCTCTCCCTCTTATACACATACACACATTCAGTTTGAGTACATATTGCACATTGAATGGGCTGCTTTACTTAAGCCATTTCATCATGTCTCAGTGGGATTGACACAAACATGAATTTAGTGCAGGCAGTGCCTTGAATAACATTTCTGTTCCTTACTGTTTCATTTCCTCACACTTCTCATTCCCACCTTTTTTGTAACTTGGTGTTCTATTTCCTTAAATTGCAATAGAGGATATCTTTTCTTTCTTTCTTTCTTTCTTTCTTTCTTTCTTTCTTTCTTTCTTTCTTTCTTTCTTTCTTTCTTTCTTTCTTTCTTTCTTTCTTATTGTTATCATTTATTGCAATTTATTCAATTAGTATCCCTCATCTCTTCCCAATCCCACCCTCTCTCCCTCTTCCCCGCTATGCCCCTCCCCTAGAACACTGATAGGGGAGGTCCTCCTCCCCTTCTCTTTGACTCTAGTCTATCAGGTCTCATCAGGGCTGGTTTTGTTGTCTTCATCTGTGGCCTGGCAAGGCTGTACCCCCCAGGGGGAGGTAATCAAAGAATCAGCCACTGAGTTCATGTCAGAGTCAGCATCTGCTCCCCACTTGGATACTGAGTCTATGGGCTATATATGAGCCAGGGTTTTAGGTCCTCTCCATGCATTGTCCTTGGTTGGGGTATCATTCTCTTCAGGGCCCCTAGGGCTCAGTTTTGTTGGCTTTGTTGGTCTCCTTTTGGAGTTCCTGTCCCCTCCAGATCTCCCCCTTCTTTCACAAGATTCCCTGCATTTTACCCCAAGTTTGGCTATGGGTCTCAGCTCTGCCTCGATACCTCAATCAGTAGAGTCTTTCAGAGACCCTCTATGGTAGGTTCCTGTCCTGTTCCCTGTCTTCTCCTGCTTTTGACATCTATCGCTTTTGTCCTGAATGAGGAATAAGCATCTTCCCTAGGGTCTTCCTTGTTGTTTAGCTTCTTTAGGACTATAGTTTTTAGTATGTTTATCCTATATTATATGGCTAATATCCACTTATGAGTGAGTACATACCATGTGTGTCTTTCTGCTTCTGGGTTACCTCACGCAAGGTGATCGTTTCTGGTTCCCACCATTTGCCTGCAAATTTCATGATTTCCTCGTTTTTAATAGCTGAGGCATAATAGTGGCATAATAGTATGCCATTGTGTAAATGTACCACAACTTTTGTATCCATTCCTCCATTGAGGGACATCTAGGTTGTTTCTATATTCTGGCTATTACAAATAGAGCTGCTATGAACATGGTTGAGCTAATGTCCTTGTATATTTGAGCATGTTTTGGATATGTGCCTAGGAGTGGTATAGGTGAATCTTGAGGTAGCACTATTCATAATTTTCTGAGAAAGCACCAGATTGATTTCCAAAGCAGTTGTACAAGTTTACATTTCCACCAGCAATGGAGGAGGGTTCCCCTCTCTCCACATTCTTTCCAGCATGTGTTGTCACTTGAGTTTTTGATCTTATCCATTCTGATGGTGTAAGGTGAAATCTCAGGGTTGTTTTGATTGTTTGCATCTCCCTAATGACTAAGGATATAGAACATTTCTTTAAGTGTTTCTCTGCCATTCGATATTCCTCTTCAGAGAATTATCTGTTTAGCTTGGTACCCCATTTTTTAATTGGATTACTTGGTTTGTTGGTATTTAACTTCTTAAGTGCTTTATATATTTTGGATATTAGCCTAGAGGATATTCTTAACTTAATAGAAACTAATGTAAAGTGACTCTCTGATGACATGGTGCAACTTCATGAGGGCTGGATGAAAAAGGAGATGCAAAGGAAAGTTTATTTATGGAAACTGATCTTCTTAGGAAACTCTACCAAAGAAAAGACATGAAGAACTTTTGAGAAAATGCCACATCATCCTTTGTCTTTCATATATGTATATAGGTATATTTATGATCATGTGTATATATTACTTGGCATTTTCAAGTAATGGTTTTTAAGGACTTAAGTAGAAAAAAAATTCAAAAGTAATTACACACAGAGAAAGAAGCTTCTCAGAGCTTAACTTAAAGACTATCAGATATCTACAGTGGAATGGAAGCAAGGTTTTCCTGTCTTGAATGTCTTACGTCACTGCAGGGGATTGTGTGCTTCTTTGTTTTGGCAAACTTATGGTTCCTAGGAATGTGTGGGAAGCATGGTTGCCACATATTTGAAAACAGCATTAGAGAAAAGTCCCAAATGTTTTGGTTTGTCTATGGACATCAACAAAGAATCGAAACATATAAAATTATTATTTTAAAATGAACAAATTCCTGGAATTGAGGCTTTCCTTATTTCAGTTCATCCTTGTTTCTCCATTGAATGGAAGTCCTTGTCTTGGCTCTGAATGATCCACTGTGCATGGTTAGGGATGTTCTGCCTTGCACTTAGGTTAAAAGGGGTCATTCATCTAATCATAATCCAACATAAAAAAAGCAACAACAAGAGGGTTATGTGTGATGAGGGTAATACTTGGAACCAAAGACCATAAAAAGTTCTTACTTTTAACATAAATGAATTTATTTAAGTTTTAATGAAGTTCTATGTTCAAAACTTTCTGAAAAGAATAAAAATCTTAGTTATACCTTCTTTTTGTAGTGGAAATATAATGAGTTTTACCACGTTGAAGCTACATGCAGCCAAGGTCCAGTTTATGTCTGTAGCATCACAGATCTACAGCCATACACTCCATATAATATCCGAGTGGTGGTGGTCTATGTGACAGGAGAAAATAGCTCCTCCATTCCAGAGAGCTTCAAGACAAAAGGTGGGTATTAGCGTCCTCCCCTCAAGCAAAGCAAACATCTCTGATCTTTTCTCATCTCTCAACTCTAACACTCTAATTCTAAAAGCACAAATGTTTTCTTATCTACTTTTAGTTTATGTATATTGGTGTTTTGTCTGAATATATATATATACATATATATATATATGTATATATATATATATATTGTGTGCGTGTGTGTGTGTAACACCTGGGTACCTGGCACAGTTACCAGGTTCCAAAGTTAGGCAGAAGGGGGCATTGGATCTCCTGGAACTGGAGAATAAGATGAATAAGATGGCTGTGATTCATGATGCGGGTTCTGGGAACAGACTCTGGGTCACCTCTATAGGCCCTCAAATGTTTTCCTGAAAGAGCCATCACTATGTCCATCCATCTGTAGCATAGGTGAATAAATTGAAGAGTTAGGAGTTGTTACAGGAGGGACCAAGAACATAATGGCTTGGGCTTGCAGGACCCTGAGATAGGAAAAACCATTTCTTATTCCAGTTTTCTGCTATCCTCTCTAGCTACATTCTGTTTTGTAGCAAGAACTATATGAAAGAGGATAACTCAATGCCCAAGGAATACTTACAAAATAACTTTTATAGGCCAAATGCTAAAATGAAAAGCCAAACCAAACCAAACCCTGAAAGTCTATTCAATTAGGATTCTGAACACCATAACTCTAGGTTGAGTCCTGGAAGAGTAGAGGACAAAATGTTCCAAAAGTGTGACTTTTTTAAGCTTGTAGTTATCACCTATTTTGTGTCAATTTAAGATATATGATTAATCATCCCACTAACTAGCCAACCCATCATTAATGAAAGCTTTAGATGCTCACTAAAAAATTTGTGCTTCAGGTTTGGGGAGACAGCTCTAGCAGAAAAGTACTTGCTATGTAAGTATAAGACCTGAGTTCAGTCTCCAGAACCCACCCCCAGAACCTGGATGTGGCAGAGCATTTGTAATTTCAGTGCTGTGTAGGTGGATTTCTGGGGCTCCTTGCTCAGCTAGTCCAGCTGAAAAAAAGAGATCCTGAAAAGAATAATGTGGGCAGTGCTTAAAGACCAAAACATTAGGTTGACCTCTGGCCTGCACATATGTAAGCACATGTATATACACACCACACACACACACACACACACACACACACACACACACACTCATACACACATACAGCATTTTTTTTATCAGAATGTTTCTTTAAAACATTTATCTTCTTCGACATATCTCAGAGAAAGATAACCAATGACAGATATTTTCTACTTCTAACATGTCAGCCAATTCTCTCTTTACCCCCACAAAGCTGGAGTCCCAAGCAAACCAGGCACTCCGAAATTACTAGAAGGGAGTAAAAATTCAATCCAGTGGGAGAAAGCTGAAGATAATGGAAGCAGACTGATGTACTATATCCTTGAGATCAGGTACGTATCATCCAATGCTGTATGTACCACAAAGAGCTAATTACAGTTAATTACAAGGTGGTCAAAAGTGATAATTTTGTCAAAGTACATTTATATAGAAAGATGAATTTTTAAAGGTTTTTGCATGTCTTTGCTCATTTTTCAAAGTCATACTTGACATTCTAATCATAAAACATACCACATCACTCTCAGACATCTGCAGCTTCTCATTCAAACATCACAGAAACCAATTTCCTCTGAGTTCATGCAGCCGATACTTACTTAATATCCACTCTGGTTAAGAAGCCAAGCTGATGTTTGGTGTCAGGCAATGAATGCATGTAAACTTCTGATAATTTGTTTTAGGAAAGTTGAATGCTCTTAGGTGAGAATTGCAGAAAGCTAGATATATAGATTTTTCCAGAATCTGAAACAAGGGAGAGAGCAGAAATGATATGAAGTCAATAGGTATTTGGGCTGTCTATCTGTTTGAGGTTAACAGATGTGTTTCCAGAGACCGAGAATGTGAGGTAGCCTAAACCCAGCAGCTGAGAAGCATGTGTACCCTCAAACCAAGCCAGTTTGCAGAGCTCAGTAAGGGAACTGGCCCAGAAAGAATGACCTCATGCCAGCTCAAGGGGAGAAATCCAAATTCCAAAGACACTCCCCTCACGGGACTATGAAGCCATCTTTTAAGAGGCTCCAAGGACACAAGTCACTTCCATAATTATAGTCCTGGCAACTTGAGCTTTGGATCTATTTTTGTTTCGTCTTTACTCAGGCATCCCCAGAACCTCAGAAAATTTCCCACTTGCATTAGAAAATTCTCTTGGCTACATTTTCAGTTGAAACCTTCACAAAATATTTTGTCACTGTTTCTCATACACAGTGAAATATGTTCTTAGTAGAACTATCTTGGTGGCCTGTGACTATAACAGTGTCTATCATCCAGTCCACAGCTTTATCCTTGCTGGGACTCCTTAGTGTATTCTCCTCAGAAAGACCTTAAAGATGTAATTTCACCTAAGTAGCTTTTGTATCCTTGCCCTGAGTCTCCACCTTTTTACTATAATATCGACATTATAGGACAGGAGGAAATGTTGTCACATGTTTGTCATATCTTGAGAAAGGATCTCTAGTTGGACTCTCTTCTTTTTTAACTCTTGTCCCCGACCCAGTGCTGGAGACTAAACCTAGAGCATGCTCATCAAGAGGTCTACCACTGAGTTATCTGTAAGCTACCCTTTAACTTCTTTTGATCAGGCCACACTAAGTTATCCAGACTGCCCCTGAATTTGTTCTATAGCCTGGTTATGGTGTGAACTTGTGATCCTCTTGCTTTTAGAGTAGTGGGGAAAGGGGAAAGCATATGAATTTGGTAATTGAAAGTCACAGAAATTTCCTCTTATAGTTTATCTGGTTGAAAATCTGACACCTTGATGGGTGGTTGGTAGTGCATACCTTCAGTCCCGGCACTGAGGAGGCAAGGCCAGGTGGATCTCTGAGTTTGAGGCCAGTCTGGTCTACAGATTAAGATCCATAAAGCCAGAGCTACACAGAGAAACCCTGTCTCCAAACACACACACACACACACACACACACACACACACACACACACACGCACACACATGCACACACACACACTGACATTAGGAAGACTCCTTTGTCACCTCGTCTTAGCTTCTTGGACTGGGTCTGACACCCTTGGTGTTGTTTGACTTATACACATATCTCTAGCATCACACACTCACACTCTCTTTTGTTTATCTGGACTCACCTTTCCCTTTTTGTAAAGGCATTGGTCTAGGACAGGCCTTTATCTAGTATGTTTTCATGTTAACATGTCAGGTGCCATGACCTTATTTCCTGTCAAGGTCACATGCACAGGTAGAGCAGGCTTAGATTCAAGTGTAGGGGAATGTTATTTTTTCCATGTTTGGATCCTCACCGGTTTGCTTTTTCTGAAGGTTAAGTTTTCTTAACCTGTGAAATGGGCAGAATGATGTCTTTCTCTTTGGGTTGTGAAGAGTCAATGAAACTCGGTGAACTCTACTATGTTGCATTATAAATGGAAGGTGCTCAACTAATGTCAGATCTTTCCACTGCCTTTGTTCTTCAGTAGCTGTAAAAAGCCATTTCACTCTTCCTAGGAGCCCTTATGGTTTAAAACCAAAGCTTTGATTAAACAATGACATTGCCAACATTTACCCTGAGACTTTACAAAGTATAAAAGCAGAATGTTATAATAATTTGATCGGGGTGGTCCTAAAGATACCTTTCTCCTGGGAACAGTTGTGACTAACCCTTTCGCCCCTTGGCTCTTATTCTTGTGTCCCCTTCTCTGGCCTCCTGGGGCCCAGCCCTTGTTGTTTCTCCAGGACAGTATACAGTTAGTGAGAGCATAGCTAGCTTCTGCTCTGTACCTCTAAAAATACTGTGGTCTGAGAGTTGTTCTTCCTTGCCAGAGCAGAGACAATTGGAAGACCTTGAATTTACCTTTGGTCCATGAGGCTATTAAAAGCCATTCCAGTTTCATCTTTTGAACTCAGATCTTGTACTACTTTTATGTTTCATATGAAGATCAATGTGAATTGGCTTAGAAAAGTGTAGGCCAATATAAAAGGAAGCGATAACCTTAGAATCTCATATATACTGATACTTTTGGTGGCTGAACTATCTATAAACGAAGTTATTAAGTATTATAATATCATTCTTTAAATTTTTAATTCTATATTTTACCCATATATGGCATAAGTAAATTACAAGTGACACAGGAGATTGAAAAATTAAAAATATATATATATATACACAGGCCAAGTATGGTATTAATACCCATAATTCAAGAATTCATGAGGCAAAGACTGAAGGATCATGTATTCCAGGCCATCTGGCTACATAAATAGCTCCGTTTCACAAACCCAACCAACCAATTGACCAAAGAAACAAAGGAAGAAACAAACAAAAACACGAAGGAAATGGCTCACTGGGTAGGAGTACTTATTGTGAAAACATAAGGACCCAAGTTTGAGCCCTAGATCCCACATAAAAAGCCAGGTGTGGCTGTGTGTATGCATACACACAGCACTACAACAAGCGGAGGCGCGAAGATCACTGGCTCTGTCAATCAGTCTTCCTTCAGGGTTAGTGAGAGACCATGTTTCAAGGGAGTAAGGCAGAGAGTGATAAAGCAGGGCACCCAGTGACTTCCTATGGCCTCTGTCATGACTGCTGGGTGGTATACACATTTGTACATGTATACCAGAGATACATGCAGAAAAGCAAAGATGAAAAAAGAAAAGAAAAAAAGCACAAATGTTCTAGCTAAAAAATGTGACATAATTATGTGTTTGAATCTTGGCAATTTCCTGCATTTTAAGCAGTCACCCTGTTGATGATAACAGGGTCATCAACTTTCTCTTTTAATGCATTGAGTTGGTCTGCTCATGAATTGCTAAGACTTTAATAAGCATGCTCCATTCTGCAGCAAATCATGCAACGGAAGTAAGGCCAAGGGTCAAGTGTGTGATAAGTGACGAGTACTAGAAAAAACACCACATTGTTTTGTATGCTGTATGTGTCTATTAATCTATTGTTTCTTTTGCAGAAAGGGCATTTCAAATGATTCACAAAACCAGAGTTTAAGGTGGAAGATGGCGTTTAATGGGTCCTGCGGTAGCATTTGCACATGGAAGCCAAAAAACCTGAAAGGAACATTTCAGTTCAGAGCAGTAGCTGCAAACAATATTGGGCTGGGACAATATAGTGGAATCAGTGAGAATATTACATTAGTGGAAGGTATGTTAACATGTATGTCTGTACATTAGTTTATTACATAAATATTCAGTGCCAAAGATATATACATTCTTAGTATCAGCAACAGATATAGTGGCTGTATAACCTATCATACAAACTATTGATTGGTTTAGTTGATCTGGTGTATTCTTCTTAAAGTATCATTGTTTGGTTTGGTTTGGTTTTTTTGAGACAAGGTTTTTTCTGTGTAATAGCTCTGGCTATCTTAGAATTTGCTTTATAGACCAGGTTGGCTTCAATTAAAGGCATGTGCCACTATGCCTGGCTGTAAAGCATCATTCTTATCTTGTTACTTTGCCTCTCAGTAAAAAGTGGCCATTCAGAATGTCTACCACCCCAATTCCATGCTATTTAAAAGACTTTCAAGACTGTCCATTATCGGGCCTTTATCTATCTGGTCACACATAGTATCTACTTGTTACTGCTCTCTCTTACATGAGAGACTTAGAACTACTCTGTCTTCCTTTTATGTTTGTTCCATCGTATCCTCCTTTAGATTATGTATTACCTTTCTAAACACTGACCAGAATCAACTTGTGCATGTAAGGCTTTATCTGACTTACAGGTTATAGTCTACTATCAAGGGATGCCAAGCCAGGAACTCAAGATAGGAAACTAGAGGTGGGAACTCCAGCAGAAACCACAGAGAAAAGCGACTTGCTAGCTTGCATTTTGGTTCATATCCATCTACCTTGCATATATATCCTGGACCCAGTGGCCTGGGGTGGGTAGCACAGTGAGGCTGTCTATTCTATTAATTAATTAATTCTATTAATCAGAGATAAAAAAAATGCCTCCACAGACATATCCATAGACATCTGACAGAGGCAATTCTTCAACTGGGGTGTGTCAAGGAGATAACAAAATTAACCAGGACCTATAGGCTGGAAACTTCAGTGAGACTTCTGATTTGTTTCTCTGTCTAGTCAACAACTTCAACTGATTTTGAAGAGAAACATATCAACTCCTCTTTTTTTTTTTTTTTTAATTGCACTTATTTCTCTGTGTCTGTGTGTGCTTGGGCATTCACCTGCCATAGTAATGTGTGTACAGGTGGCGATCACCTGTAGAAGAGTGAGCTCTCTTCTACTATGTGGGCTATAGGGATCAAACTCATATTGTAGGACTTGGTGGCAAGCACCCTTATCTGATGGGCCATCTTGCTGGTCCACTATCTTAGTTTCTCACTGTTAAATTCCCGCATGTCTATTTTCCACACTGGCTTTCTTGATGTAAGATACTTTTTCTTGTCTGTGCTCTTAGCTTAACCACACTGCTGATGATTTAGCTGATGGGCAAGGCAGACCCTTAGCTCATCATTTTTTTTTAATTTTTTTCTTTATATTTTTATTAATTACAGTTTATTCACTTTGTTTCCCACCTGTAGCTCCCTCCCTCCTCCCTTCCCAATCCCACCCTTCTTCCCTCTTCTCCACCTATTCCCCTCCCCCAGTCCACTGGGGGAGTCCAAGAGGAGGTCCTCCTCCCCTTCCTTCTGACCCTAGCCTATCAGGTCTCATCAGGACTGGCTGCATTGTCTTTCTCTGTGGCCTTGTAAGGCTCCTCCTCCCTCAGGGTGAGGTGATCAAAGAGCAGGCCAATCAGTTCATGTCAGAGACAGTCCCTGTTCCCATTACTATGGAACCCACTTGAACACTGAACTGCCATGGGCTACATCTGTGCAGGGGTTCTAGCAGCTGATTAATGGATACAGAAATTGTGGTACGTTTGCATAATAGAATATTACCCAGCAACTAAAAACAAGGAAATCATGAAATTTGCAGACAAATGGTGGCAACTGGAAAAGATCATCCTGAGTGAGGTATCCCAGAATCAGAAAGACACACAAAGCATATACTCATTCATAAGTGGTTGTTAGACAAATAATATAGGATAAACATACTAAAATCTGTACACCTAAAGAAACTAATCAAGAAAGAGGACTCTGGCTGAGATCCTCAATCCTCATTCAGAAAAGCAAAGAGGATGGACATCAGAAAAGGGAGAAAACAGGGAACAGGACAGGAGCCTACCAGAGAGGGCCTCTGAAAGACTCTACCCTGCAGGGTATTAAAGCAGATGGTGAGACTCATAGCTAAACTTTGGGCAGAGCGCAGGGAATCTTATGAAAGAAGGAGGAGAAAGAAAGACCTGGAGAGGACAGGACCTCCACAAGGAGAGCAACAGAACCAAAAAATCTGGGCACAGGGGTCTTTTCAGAGACTGATACTCCAACCAAGGACCATTCATGGAGATAACAATAGAACCCTCAGCTCATCTTTAAATGATGTGAAATAGCTCCATTCACTGATTTTAGTGTGGCATGTGAAGCCTCCTGGGACCTGCTCAAATGCTAGGAAAATGAGCCATTTGTGGGAGTGGGGAGCAGGTCTCAGGTGGCTGCACACACCACACTGAAATCAGTGAATGGAGCTATTTCACTGCAGTAATTATAGCAGGTCTGATTCTCAGTTTATATCATGTATGTACAAAATATCGCTTTTATTTATATTCTTCAATAAAAGTAAATTATGTCATCTGTTCTCATCTATCTGGTAGGGTTTCTTTTTCTTTTCTTTTTTTCTTTTTGTTTTTTGTAGTAATGTAGGAATTGAACCTTGGACTTTGCACATGTAAAGTAAGTGCTCTGTCATTAAAGTAAATCTTTAGCAGTGTAATGGCAGGACATTTAACCACACTTATTTATTTTATTTTTAGATTTTTGTTTGTTTGTTTGTTTTGTTTCGGGTTTTTTGTTTTGTTTATTTTCTTTTGTTTTTATTTTTAGACAGGGTTCTCTGTATAGCCTTGGCTGTCCTGGAACTTATTCTGTAGACCAGGATGGCCTAGAACTCAGAGATCTGCCTGCCTCTGTCTTGAGATTAAAGGTTTGTGCCACTACCTATGGCTTACTTTTATATTCTTGCAAGCATATATTAATTATAAATGCTAATGGGATTCATTGTGTCATTTTTACACAAATATGTAATATATTTTGACCCTACTCATGCTGTTCCCCTCTCTCATCCCCCTCCAGTCACTGTCCTTCTATTTTAAGGCCTAACTAAATGAACCCATTGCCATACATAATTGATATACCTTGGGCAAAAATGAGTTATTTGCACTTTATATATACATTTCACATAAAACTTTAATCATTCTGGGTCATCAAGATGGCTCAGTGGGTAAGGGCACTTGCTGCCAAGTATGACGACCTTGATTCCAGGGAATAATCTCCCTGGAATCACCATCATAGAAGAAAAAAAAATCATTTCCCACAAACTATTCACTGACCTCCAAATCCATGCCTTGCAGGCAAGTACTTGTACCTACACATACGGGCAACATGCAAACAAATACATAAGTAAAGAAATGCAATAAAAAAATTTAAAGAAATGTCCAGGAGATCTAGCTCATCAGTTCAGAGCATTTAGTCTTGCTGAGGGCCTGGATTTGATTCCCTGGAATTATATGGTAGCTCCTGGCTATCTGCAACTCCAGACTTCCCCGGGGATTTGATGTCCTCTTCTGTCCTCCACAGACAGTTCATACACACGGTGCACAGATACCCACGAGTGCAAAACATTCATCCACACAAAATTAAAAGACAAAACTGCCATCATCCTTGTTTATATCATAGTTTAGCTAGCTCGTGCTTGGCTAGATATTTTCTGAAAAGAACCAAGGAATAAATGGTTTAGGTTTTGCAAGTTATATCTGTTTTCTGTATCTGCCTTGTCTTCTTTCTCCTCCTCTTCCTTTTCTTTTCTATTTTCTTTTCTTCTTTATAAAATAGTTTTTAAATGTAAAAAGTATTCTTAGCTCACGAGAAGTTTTAAAAAGCTGCAGCCAGGTTTGTCCCACAGGCTCGAGTTTGCCAAGCTCTGGTCTGCATGCTTGTTTCTCCTATAAACAGCATACCAAAGACAGACACTCTACCACATTTTCATGTTGGTATCCCTTAGACTAATGGCTATAGAGTTAAATGGGTTTGGAGATCTAAAGGAAAATAGTAAATCTCATCTATTTAAAAAAACATTTAAAGATAAAGACTCCTTTGTCTCGAATTCTTTAGAAAGAATCATACACACTTCTTAAAGTCATAGATTATGTGGGTGTGCTTTGGGGAGATGGTGAAATAGCAAAAGGGAAAGCTACAGCTTTGACTTTGGTTTCTGCTGCGTGCAAGCTCTCAATATTGTTGATTTCAATCTTCTGATTGCTAAACGACTGGCTTATGGGAACCTCAGAGGAGCAGGCTCCTGCTAGCCAGTGTGTGTGTGTGTGTTGGGGGAGGAGGAAAGGGAAGAAATATGACAAGTTAGCTTTTTGTGTGAGTTAATTTATTTGCAATTTATGTCTTTAGATGGTTTTTGGATAACAGAAACAAGCTTTATACTTACCATCATAGTTGGGATATTTCTGGTTGCTACAGTCCCACTGACCTTTGGTGAGTATCATAGATTTTATAAGCAGGTAATAGTTTATTAGATCATACTGACTGATTTATCTTTCAGTTCATCTAATTTCCTATGTGAAACATAACCTGATTAAGTAAGTTAGTAAAGTTCACAGCTTTGCCTTTGGCTATCTTTTTGTAGCTACTAACTTCTATGATTTTTTTTTTTTTAAATCAAAGGATATGCTAGCTTTCTTTCACATAAAGATTTATTCTGGCTTACAGTTTTCAAGGTGTTAGTTCATGATCAAGTGGTCTTGTTGCTTTGGGTGTGTGGTAGCCCATCATGGCAGGAGTGTGATGTGGCAATGTCCACATCTCCCAGCTAGGAACAGAAGAGAAAGAAAAAGGAGCTGGGGTCTTGCCATCATCTTCAAGAGCATGTCCCCAGAGACAAGAACACTTTCCATTATGCCTAACCTCTGTAGTCTAAAGATGTCAAGCTGGGGACTAAGGCTTTGACACATGCACCTTTGAAGAATATTCTGGATACAAACCACTCCACAGGACAACTATCTCATAGCTAAAATATCAGTATATACATTTGATAGTATACTTGAGGTGCAACTATTTGTAAAGAGACTCTATTTAGCTTTCTGTAAAATAGCATTTGTTTCTGATTAGCTATTGTAAGTGTTCTGTGGCTTTTAAGTTAGAATATAAATTAAAAAAGAAGTAACCAGAGATAAAAAAACAGTGTAGGATTAATCGGAAGCCAGTGAGGGTCACTGGTTGGGATAGCTTTGGTCTCCAAGTAGACAGCTTAGTTTGGAACGAATGGGGCCTCTCACAGGAGACCCATTTCTGGTCTGTGGGACTCATGTTTGCTTTCTGGCAACTGACAGACTTGCTTCAAATCACCGCTCATTTATAAAGGATCAAAAAGCAGCAGAATTAGGTCAGGTAGCTATTTTCCGTCATTTATTTTATGTTACTATGCTATTCCTTTAGGCTGTACCCCTTTTTAACATTTATTTTAATTGTGATAAAACCCACAGAAAACCCAAAATGGGTAGTAAGAATTTGGGCCCAGAGGGATATCACCATGGTCATATATTCTGGCTTATTCCTGTTGTATAATAAATGTTAACATCACGTTTGTTCAGTTCCCCGCGTATCTAGGTTTGGGTTACAAGATATAAGAGCTTTCCATCTACTGCTAATACCAAGAGTGATCAACCCCACCATAGGATCATAAGAAGGACATGATACCAGAAAAGAAATTCTAGCACATATTCAGAAAGCTGCAGCTTATTGTGTTTATAAGTAAGAGACAGTTAAATAAGAAAGGCAAAGGAAGAACTACAAATACAAGGTTGAATTCTCTCTGGAAAAATAACGATACTATGTAATTAAATCTCCCAATCAGTATTCTTTCTCCAGGCAAGAAAGTATCTCACTGGAGGTAAAAGCTTTCAGACAATATTTTGAATTTGAACTGAGGTTTCACTTAAAGAAAAATTCCATCCAGTCATTTTCTGAGAACCCCTCAACAGACCTGGCTAAAGACTCCATCGACCTGGCCAGTATTAAATTTAAGCTTGCTTCCAATTTGGAAAAAAAAAATCCATCCAGATAACACATCCAACTCCTTCAGCTAAGTGGGGGCAGCTAATTTTTTCTGTGGAGCCTGCTAGGATTTTGACCTGTGGTTCCAGGGAGTCTGGGTATGGCACAGCTGATGTTTGTGCCACTAAGCCAGTCTCTCTCCAGAGTTTTCGTGTCTGGCTGCGGTATATTTGGCAGTTGGCATATAGACTCGCCTGCTTGTCTGCTTCCTGCTGGGAGGCGTGTGACATGAGGAACCCTTCGTCTCACCTTTGCTTGCCTACTTTCTCCATCACCACTGCTTGACCCCATGACTCCAGGAGATGAAAATGAGATCATTTCAATGTTTAGTGTGCTTTCGAGACATCCTGCGGATATCTGACTTTCTCAGGACTTAAAGGTTTTCATTTTGTTTGGAATTTGTGGACTTTGGGGTGGAGCTGAGCTAGTACAGTTTTTGCTTTTGTTAGTAGTGCGTGCAGTTTTACCAGCAGGAATGTGCGAGTGCATGAGAAAAGACTAAGTTATTAAGGTAATAAAAAGTAGCAATTCTTTAGAGATTGCATTGTGCTGTGGGCTCTGTAAAATTGAAACAAAGGCTTAAGAGTAAGTACTGGCAGCCTTTGGGTTGGTGAGTGGCCCCGTATGTGGTAAGGCAAAACAAATGTCATGCCAGGGAACAGCACTGTAAATTATGGTCAGTGACCTCAGGATCTTGTCCTTTAATAATGGACGTAAGATATCCTGTGTGAGAGAACTCATCAGAACGCTGTGACATGAAACGTGGGTGACAATGGCATGGAAGAACACTGACAGCCACAGCTGGCCTTTTAGGGTCATCGATGAGAGGTAAGCAGAGTTTGCAGAGGAATGAGCTGGTGTCTGTTACAAGAAACTATGAAATAAGGTTAATGTTTTTGTTGTTGATGTTTTTGAGATAGAGCTGACTTATGTGTAGAGCAGCCTGATCTGGAATCTATGATTTTGCTGCCTCAGCCTCCCACGTCCTCAGATGACAGGTGTGTACCCCCGTGCAAACGTTCAAAGCAGCATTTTTGCTGGTTTGACCCCTGTATCCATGTACAGCACAAATAGGTGATCTGACATAATTGCATTTCAATCTTTATTGAAGAATGTTTTATCATTATAAAAAAACTGAGCATGATGTGAAAAGGGGGGATATAAATCACTCATGATTCTACAAGTAGGCTGGACCAATGCTGCTGTTTATTGCAGCAACTTTTTACATGTGAATGCGAACAACAGATATGTATTCTTTTGTATGTATTTCTGTCTCTGTGTTGCAGTCAAAGGTGTCAGAGAGCACTTTAAACAGAGCTGAGCTTTCATTTCGAGGTCACCCAGGGGGCATGTAGGACTCCTACAACTCTGGGGAAGGGAAACATTTCAAGGGAGTTCTAAGAGTTTAACCTGTGGTTCCAGAATCTAAGGATTGCACAGCTGTGCAATGCTGTTCTGTGCTGTGCTGTTCTGTGCTGTGCTGTGTGCGTGTGTGCATGTACATGTATATATGTGTGGATATCAGGGGTGAAGTCAGAAGTCTTTTTCTATTCCTATCCACTTTTTTTTTTTTTTTTTTTTTTGAGATAGTCTGCTATTGAAGCTGGAGCTTTCTAGTCAGCTAGGCTGGGTGGCCAGCAGGTCCCCAAGATCTGCCTGTCTCTGACCTCTACTGCCAACACTGGAGATATATCTATGTGCTGTTATACTCAACGTCTACATGGGTGCTGGGAATCCATCCATCGTCCCAGCTCTGATGTACACGTGTGTCTTATACATCACATTGAAAATGTTTTACACTTTATTTTAGCCAAAAGGCTGGGGAAAAGATCAATGGAAACATTTTAACTCTTGATGTGCCATTGTATTAGAGGAGTTCCTTCAGGTTTGCTGGAGTATGCTTCATTAATAATCATTTTGCAAAGTTTTAAAACAGTTTGGTTTTAGCTTACAGGTAATTTTGAGAAGTGCATTTCTTTTCTTTTGTTTTGTGTTTTAATTTTTAATTTATTTTTTCTTTATTACAATTTATTCACATTGTATCCCAGCTGCAGCCCCTTCCTTCAGCCCCTCCTAATCCCACCCTCACTTCCTCTTCTCTTCCCTCTGCCAGTCCACGGATAGGGGCCTTCCTCCTCCCCTTCCATCTGAACCTAGGCAAACAGGTCTCATCAGGACTGTCTGCAGTGTCTTCCTCTGTAGCCTGGTAAGGGTGCCCCCACCCAGAGGGGGAGGTGATCAAAGAGCCAGCCACTGAGTTTATGTCAGAGACAGTTCCTGTTCCCCTTACTAGGGAGCCCACATGGAAACTGAGCTGCCATGGGCTACATCTGTGCAGGAGTTCTTAGTAATCTCCATGAATGGTCCCTAGTTGGAAAAAACTTCAAGTCAGTCCACAGAGGAAGACTGCAGCCAGACCTGATGAGACTTGATAGGCTAGAGCGAGAAGTGCATTTCTAATAAGAAACTTCAAAACGTATGTGTAGAAGTAGTAAGGAATATAGTAAACTTTATGATTAAAATGTATGAATTGTGTGGTTTTTATATGGACTTTTACCCAGATTTAATTAGAAAATTTACTACAGGAATATTTTAAAATGAAGCTCTGTTACTGTCGGCAGTGTTTACCCACATGTGCATTTAAAGCTCATGTGTATTTCTTAAGCAATATTCTACTTAGTAATCTGTCTGTTTTCTTTATAGTCTGGCACAGAAGCTTGAGAAACCACAGAGCTTCCAAGGAAGGGCTCTCAGCTCTCAAAGAGGACGAAGACAAAGAGTTGGCTGAGCTTCGAGGCCTGGCGGCTGGGGTGGGACTGGCCAATGCCTGCTATGCAGTACAGTACGTGGCCATCTTCTTGGCTCACTTAGGCAGAGTGCTGGCCCTGTAACAAAGATGTCTACACAGGCCACATTTCCCAGGGATTTTCAGGTGTCACAGGGATTTTCAGGTGTCACTGTCAGTAACATTTGCTTGTAGTCTCAAATGTGACTTGGGACAAATGGTGAAGTATGAGGTTCTTCTATGAGAAGTACAGACAGATTGCCTTTCTTTATGTAATCACACGATTAAAAAGCAAACTTTCAAAAAGGAGAAATGTCTCCCTTTGAAAAGAGTGAATGGTAAGGTAGTTAATTGAAATGGTGATAGTGACAGAGAAGTGAGAAAATTCTAAAGGTCTTGCATGTATCTTACTATTCCATTGTGGAAGCTGTTTGATGATTGCCCACAGTGTCTCTTTAAGACAGATGAGTTTAAAACTTTCATTATCATTATAATTAAGGAAAATAAGTATTTCTTTGCATGAGACACTATGTCATGCTCTCTGTAAAAAGAATCCTGTGGTCATAGGTCTTACTTGCTGAAATCTACAAAACAGGATTTAAAATAGATACGGACGAGAACCAAACCAGCTCTTCAGAGGTGATTTTTGTTTGTTTTTGCTTTTTAGAAAGCACTGTGTGTCTGATATTTAGGATTCTTGTTGGGGCTGTAGAGATGGCACAGGGGCTAAGAATATTGGCTACTCTCCCAGAGAACTGGGGTTCAATTCCCAGCACCCACTTGGCAGCTCACAGCCATCTATAACTCCAGTTCCAGGAGATTTGAGACCCTCACAGAAACATACATGAAGGCAAAACACCAATCAATTCACATAAAGTAAAAATAAAAAACCCATTTTTTTTAAAAAAGATTCTTGCTAAAAAACTCAAAATGTACTTAATTTAGACTAAGTACCAACATCACAATACTCCTGGCTGAAGAGCAGCCTTTTGAGGGCTACTGCAGTGGTAGAGGAGGTGACTTTTTGGTCATAGTAAGTCCTGTTTGGCATGAGGGTGGGTATGTGAGACGGGAGAAGTGGATGCTCCGGTGCCAGCTGCTTCTTGCTATTTTCTTCATCTGCAGTAGCAACCCAGAGAATTCCGTAACTCCTTGTTTTGATAGGAGCAGCCGCAGTAGAAGCGTTGGGGCAGGCTCCACTTTCATATAGCCATATAAATGATGGCTTCCAGAAGTAGAACAATGCACTGTGTAAACACTGTGGGAGCACAGAATTCTTCACTACAATAGTGCTATCAAGTTGAGATTGCTCGATTTCTTTCCAATCAAAAGTATAAACGTAAGGTTCTGAGGGAGAACAAACACACTGCTCTTTTACAGTATTCTTCCAACCCAAGAGGAGATTGAAAGTCTTCCTGCCTTCCCTCGGGAAAAACTGAGCCTGCGTCTTTTGTTGGGAAGTGGAGCTTTTGGAGAAGTCTATGAAGGCACAGCCGTCGACATCCTAGGAGTGGGGAGTGGAGAAGTCAAAGTGGCAGTGAAGGTAATGCACACATCTGAGCCCTGTCACAGACACGACTGCATGAAAGTTCAGTGCTATTGGTTGAAAGGAAAGCTTCTAGTACAGTGAACGAGAACATTGCATGTCTCAGAGCAGACAGTTTCAGTCTACATATTAATAAAGAAATGATAAAAGTTTAAGGTGGTGAATATGTTAGCATCCTAGATTTGGTTGTTAGCCGATGGAGATACAAATCAAAACATCACACTGTATAGCAAGGTTATATACAAATAGCATAGGAACTAAAAAGTAAGATAAATTTGAGGATGGAGAGTTGGCTCAATGGGTAATAGTGCTTGTTGCTCTTGCAGAGGACTTGGGTTTCGTTCCTATCACTCACATGGTGATTTGCCTCTATTTGTCTGTAACTCCAGTTCCACAGGATCCACAGTGACCTCTTCTGACCTCCAGTGGGACCAGATACACAAGTGGTACACAAACATATATGCAGGCAAGATATTCACATACATAAAATTAAGTAAATAACATTTTAAAAATGAGATAAAATTTAAAGAAGAGTGGCAGAATATAGAAGTCTGTAATTACTATAAAAGCCACCAATTTTTTTTTCTTTCAGTTTTTTGAGACAAGATTTCTCTATGTAGCCTTGGCTTTCCTAGATTCACTCTGTAGACCAGGCTGGCCTTGAACTCACAAAGACCTTTGTGACTCTGCCTTTCTGAATGCTGGGGTTTAAGTTGTGTGCCACCACTTCCTGGCCAAAGGAGGAGGATGATTAAAGAGCATTTTTTGTTTGCTTGATTGTTTTTGTTTTTGTTTTGAGACATGGTTTCTCTGTGTAGCCCTGGCTGTGCTGGAACTTGCTTTGTAAATCAGGCTAACCTCAAACTCACACCCATTATTTTCCCCATTTCTTACATAGGTTTTTAAAAGAAGAGTATATCCAGGGTTTATGTTACTACTAAGGCTATTAATTAATTAAGACCTGGCAGAGTTTTATTTCCTATTGACATAATAGTTCAATTTGTAGAGTCCTTGCCTAGTACTTTAAAAGTCCCGGGCGTGGTCCCCAGCACTGCATAAAACAAGGTGTGCTGTGCATGTTTGTTTTCTCAACGAGGTGTAGGAAGAAGTGGGAGGATTAGAAGTTCAAGGTCATGTTTGGCTACAGACAGATTTGGAGGCTAGCCTGAGCTACACAAGATGCTGTCTCAACGCTTTCTCAAACTTGCTGTCCACATGGTCTCTGTTGTAACTGTTGAATTTTGCCCCTGCAGCTCAAACTGATTTAGTGATTAAAACCATTGAAATCTAAATTTCCTGTCATTATTTTCTGATTTTTCCTACCATTCAAAAGCCTAGAGGCTGATTTCAGACTCTGCGTGGAGTAGACATAGGTGACGGAACATAGAGGCTGACACAGACATAGGTGACAGACTGTCCATGCCCACCAAGGCTGTGGTTTCCATCGTGCATGTGATACATTTTAAGGAACCACAGCATATGCTCTTACATTTTGGTAACATTTCTTTTTGATAGAGGTCTGAGCAATCTCATATAAGTAAATAATACCTTGATAACTGATTAATGGAGATTTTTGCTTTAAGGATGGCCAATCCAAATTGGTAAAATTCTTTTCATTTCCAAATGATAGGCTTGAAAAGCCCTTAACTTTGTCTAGTCTAAGCCCATAAAACACATATATGTCTGTCTGTCTGTCTCTGTCTATCTGTGTGTCTGTCTATCATCCATCTATATATTTTCTCACATGGCCGAGATAAATGCTGGTGGAGGTGTACAGGTGCCATTTCTGAAATCCTGTTGAATTTATTCTTGCTTGCTGCTGCATAGTGCCAGTGTGGCATCACCTCCTCATTAAGACCAAGGAGAGATGACAGGATGGTCTACATGCATTGTTCAAGAAGGAGAAAGTTATCTATAAACAAACCTCTCTACCACACCAGTTTTTTCTCTTCTGTGTTTTAGCTGGAACCGAGATCATGTGACTTATGGTGTTGCAGGGTCCAGTCCGTGGGTGAGGACAGGAGGTCCATGCCGACGGGTTGAGAGGCTCCAGAGTCACTACACGGACACTGGGAGTCGGGGGAGTGCAATCCAAGGGCCAGCGGATGCAGACTGGTTTATTCCAGAAGAGAGAGCGCGTTATAGAGCTTTGGGTGACCAATCAGGTTCCTCCTCACCATCTCTGAGCCTGCCATTGGTCCCCAAGCAGGCTCCCCAATGTCAGGCCTTGAGCCCTCCACCGACTGCTTCTGCAGTCTGATTAGTAGAAGTCAGCCCAGGCTGTGAGCCCCAATGGTCCCTTGCCAGAAATGCCTACATTATGTGGCAAAGAGACTGGAGAGTTTTAGAATAAAATTTCACGAGTAACTTACATCTATTGACTAGTAATGGGAAACATCTCCCTCTCTACCCCAAATATATGGACTAGGGAGTGATTGCAAGTGGAGCTGGAATGTAGACTGAGAAGAAAAATCCAACTTACTGAATGCCAAAATTGGTGTGTCTTGAAGATTTTCTGTATTTCACGCCAGGCAGTGGTGGAGTACACCTTTAATCCCAGCACTGGGAAGGCCAGAGGCAGGTGGAGCTCTGTGAATTCGAGGCCAGCTTGGTTAGCAGAGTGAGTTCTACCACAGGAATGCTACACAGAGAAACCCTGTCTCAAAAAAACAGAACAAAATGAAAAACCCAAAACAAAATTTTCCACATTTCTACATATGGGAAGAGGATTCAACCATTAAGAACACTGGCTGCTCTTCCAGGAGATCCAGTTTTGATTCCTAGAATCATATGGCATCCCCATCTATCTGTACCTCTCATCCTGGAGGATCTAACACTCTCTATTGGCCTCTACACTGTGCACACATGGTGTACCAACATACATACTGGCAGAGAACCATACACATAAAACAAATAACCAATAAATTAATTAAAATCCACCAAACAAATGCCATTCCATATTTTAGAGGAACCTTACATATTTGTTATTCAGTCCTAAAGACTGAGATACTCTATTTTTTTTTCTTTTTGGTTTTTCGAGACAGAATTCCTATATGTAGCCTTGGCTGTCCTGGAACTCACTCTGTAGACCAGGCTGGCCTGGAACTCACAGAGAACACCTGCCTCTGCCTCCCTGAGTGCTGGCATTACAGGCATGCGCCGCCACCACTACCCAGCTCTGTGATACTCTTAACTGAACAGTAGCAATGATGAAGGTGTCAGAGACCACACACAGCTCCAACAGGGGATTTGCAGATCATGTGCACATGCTCTGTCTGTGACATAGTTCCAGACATCAGAGTAGATACTGCAAATCAAACAAAACAACAAAGAAAACAAAATAAGCAACAAAAGAAAACATGTTCTCTACTAATCCACTGGTTTCCCAGGGTCTGATTTCTGCCTTGTCTCCCTTTCTCACAGACCTTGAAAAAGGGTTCCACCGACCAGGAGAAGATTGAATTCTTGAAGGAGGCACACCTCATGAGGTATTAGCATAGAACATGCAGTGATAGTTTTTTTTTTTTTTTCCTGCCAAGTATGAATAGGAAGGCTTTATTTCTCTGTGTATGATTTTTTTTTTTACTTTTACTTTAAAAATTATTTTGTTATTTATTATTATTATTTTTTTTTACAGTTTATTCACTTTGTATCCCGATTGTAGCCCCCTCCCTCATCTCCTCCCGGGCGGCCCCTCTCTCCCTCTTCTCCCCATATCCCCCTTCCCTAGTGCACTGAAAAGAGGGAGTCCTCCTTCCCTACTTGATAGGCCCAAGCCTATCAAGTCTTATCAGGACTGCCTCGATCTACTTCCTCTGGGGCCTACTAAGGCTACCCCACCAGAGGGAAGTGATCAAAGAGCTGGCAACTGAGTTCATGTCAGAGACAGCTCCTGCTCCCCTTATTAGGGAACTTACATGGAGACTGAGCTGCCATGGGCTACACCTGAGCAGGGGGTCTAGGTCCTCTCCATGCATGATTCTTGGTTGATGCATCAATCTCTGCAGGCCCCCTTGGGGCCAGAATTTTTGGCTTTGTTGTTCTCTTTGTGGAGCTCCTTTCCCCTCCTTTTATCTCCCTCCTGCCCCTTCTTTCATAAGACTCTCTGCCCAAAGTTTGAGTTTCTGCTTAGATCCTAGTCTGGGTAGAGTCTTTCAGATGACATCTGTGGTAGGCTTCTGTCCTGTCCCTTGTCTTTAACTGCTTCTGGTGTCTGTCCTGTTTACCCTTTTAAATGAGATTTAAGCTTCCTCCTTGTTGTTTAGCTTCATTAGGACTGTAGATTTTATTATATGGCTAATATCTACTTATAAGTGAGTATATACCATGTGTGTCTTCCTGTTTCTGGGTTACCTTACCAGGATGATCTTTTCTAGTTCCATCTATTTGTCTGCATTTTTCCCCTGTTTTTAATAGCTGAGTAGTATTCCATTGTGTAAATGTGCCACAATTTCTGTATCCATTCTTTGGTTGAGGGACATCTGGGTTGTTTCCAGATCCTGGCTAATACAAATAAAGCTGCTATGAATATAGTTGAGGAAATGTCCTTGTTGTATGGTGGAACATCTTTTGGGTATATGCCCAGGAGTGGTGTATCTGGGCCTTGAGGTGGCACTATTCCCAATTGTCTGAGAAAGTACCAGATCGATTTCCAAAGCAGTTGTACAAGTTGTACCCCTACCACCAATGGAAAAGGGTTCCCCTTCTCCACATCCTTTCTAGCATGTGTTGCTATTGGAGTTTTTTATCTTAGCCATTCTGATGAGTGTAAGGAATCTCAGAGTTGTTTTGATTTGCATTTCCCTGCTGACTAAGGACATTCAGTATTGTTAAAGTGTTGTCTGCTGTGTCAATCAAGAGATTAAGGCTCTTTCCCACTTTTTCTTCTAACAGATTTAGTATATCTGGTTTTATCTTGAAGTCTTTGCTCCATTTGGACTTTAGTTTAGTATAGGGTAATAAGTATGGATCTATTTGCATTTTTCTATATGTAGACATCCAGTTAGATCAGTAGTATTTGTTGAAGATGCTATCTTTTTTCCATTGTATGTTTTGGTTCCTTTGTCAAAAATCAAGTGTCTGTAGCTATGAGGGTTTATTTCTGGGTCTTCAGTTCAATCTCATTGATTCACCAGTCTGTTTCTACGTCAGTACCATGCAGTTTTCATAGAGGATCTTTGTGCAGTATTGTTTTAGCTATTCCAGGTTTTTTGTTTTTTCATAGGAAGTTGAGAATTGTTCTTTGAAGGTCTGTCAAGAACTGTGTTAGTATTTTGATGGGAATTGCATTGAATCTGTAGATTGCTTTTGTAAAATATCTGCCAGAAAACTCCTACAACTGATAAACGCATTCAGCAAAGTGGCTGGATACAAAATTAACTAAAACAACAACAGCAAAAACAGTAGCTCTCCTGTATGCAAAAGACAAATAGGCTGAGAAAGAAATTAGGGAAACAACACCCTTCACAAAAGCCATAAAAAACATGAAGTATCTTGTTCTAACTCTAACCAAGCAAGTGAAAGACTTGCATGAAAAAAACTTCAAGTCTCTGAAGAAAGAAATTGAAGATATCAGAAGATGGAAAGATCTCCCATGTTCATCGATAAGTAGGATTAACATAATAAAAATGGCCATCCTATCTGTGTCTGATTTTTAACACCCTAAATGACCTGGTAATACCAGATCATCCTGAAAATAAACATGGGCAAAAACTTTAAGAGGAAATACATCTGTAGCATTACTTAATGCCATTAATTCTATAGAAGCCAATCTTGGGAGCCTGAGTAGGCAGTTGGCAGGCAAAGCGTCCTCCCATTTCTTATTTTCAGTAAGGAGTGCATCCTGCAAGCAAATTCTGAGGCTGTTTTGCTTTTAAAATGTATCTATTCTTAGTGAGGGATAATGGGTCAAACAGATCCAGGGTGAATGCTCTTTTATGTGTTCTGATGTTAGCAAGAATATCTCTTGCCTAGGAAACTGGTGGAGAAGGTTCCAGTCAGCAGCAGTCATGACAACTGCTCAAGGATGTCTTAAGGAGAAGTGGGAGGCAGAGGCTCATGGGAGGTCAAGTTGGCTCTTCTAAATAAGATGGGGCTTACTCACTCTGGTGTCTTCACAAACAAATGAGGCTAAACCAGAAGATCTGAGTTGTTTCACTGAAAGGGAGAGGATATATGTCAAAATTGTGATGACACAGGCATGCTTTCAATGATCTCTTAAAGAAAAAAATTGCTTTCTTTCCCAATTGTAAAAGTCCCATAATGAGAAACCTTGCTTCTTTTAAAACCTCTTCTAGTCTCCTCAGATGCACTGGCCACTAGGGGTTGCCATGTTCCCTCCTTAAGACAAACACACAAGGCAGGGCTTAGGCAAGAAAGCTTTCCCTTGATAGAGGACGTCAGTGAAGGCTTGGAAAGGATGCTCTGCTATCATTGTCGTGTCATTCGGCTTGTGCCTTTTCACCTTTCAGCAAGTTTGATCACCCCAACATTCTGAAGCAGCTGGGAGTCTGTCTGCTGAGTGAACCCCACTACATTATTCTGGAGCTGATGGAAGGAGGAGACCTTCTAAGCTATCTGCGCAAAGCCCGGGGGACAAAGGTAGGCAGCTGGAGGATTGGCTCTCTAAAGCAAAGTACTAGAGTTCCCTGTTGATTGTCTTCAAGTTCAGGGAACTTGAAGTAACGGGCAGTAACTTTGGCTGGTGGGAGAAGTTTTGAAGTTGGCTATGGAAAGAAAGTGCATGTTGTTGGATTAGGGGAATTAGAACCCTGAGCTAATATTTGAGCCTGGTTTTAGTACTGAATAGAAAACAAAAGGGCATGCCCACCCTTAAGGGTAGCCTTACCCTTAAGAGTACTTTGCTTCCCCAGTGAGACTTCCTTGGAGAAAAGTAAACTTTCATTTTCAAGCAGTTATCAATTAGAGACAGCTTCTGGGTTAAGGCTGAGGATATGTGTCTCCTTCCTCTTTCAATTCTAGGCCCTCCATCTGGTGCAGACTCATGCAGACTGTGTGCATGCTGTCCTAGGCATTGTTGACTTGTTGACTTAGTGGCCTTGCTTTCTTGGTGTCCTCCATCAGCATGTCAAACTTACTTTGGCTGAAAAAAACCTCTTGACTGCATGCACCCTCTCTCATTCCATCTACCCAGTGTCCTGTCTGCTCCCCGCACCCAGATACCCACCCCTACAGCCCTTGCTCTACAGTTGAGCCCTCTCAGTGTGGTTCCAGTCCATCCATCCATCTGTTCCCGGTGCCTGGCACAGTCTGGTTCCCGGTAATACTCTGGCTTGCTGGACAAAAGCCTGGAAGTGATCTTCCTGCAGGATTCTACATTATTCCTCAGATGAGAAGACAAGGGGCAAAGCAGTGAAGCCTAAAACTGTAGATTTCAAACACTTGTTGTCTTTTCCTAATCTAATTAAGCACTGTATGGCTAAGTAGAGTTCAGGAGAAGTAAAATCAGGAGGCTGTGCACTGTTTCAAATGTACATCCAGGTCTGCACTTGTTTTCTGGTATTTACCTGTTTTCTTAAATTGCCTGCTTATGCTGACACATTTTGACTATTCATTTTGTAGGGAAATTTATTCATTTCCTAAAGTGGAAGAGATTTTAACACAGACTCCCTCACCTACCTGTCCCACTGCTCCCAGCACCACACACAGGAGAGACCTCTCCCCTTTCTCCAATGGTTACTGTGTCTTCCCTTTTACCAGTACCTAAGTTTGCCCCTGGATATATTGCCTTTTCGTCATTACATGGAGCTCAGTTAGCCAGAGGGGACCTTTAATTTAATTTAATTTTTTCATCCTTGGACTAGTTCATAAGCACCATGTTTTGTTTTCATCTTCATTTGCCTTTTCTATTTATTCCCTGACAGAATTGTGTCACTCTCCTTAGAATGGTAATCTAGCACTTCAGTTCCCTTCTTGGACACATCCTCCCGGGAGCCAGTGCTGGTGCCTACTACAGGGTGACCATACATTTGCTTTTCTCAGGCTTTCCTTTCTGTTTGTCTCGGTGTCCTCCTTCACTCTAGCCCATACTGAGCTCTTTTACCATCCATCATATGACTGCCTTTTTCTGATTTAGGAAAGCACTCACTTGTGGCAAAGGTTTTTTTTTTTTTTTTTTTTTTTTTTTGTGTGTGTGTCGTTAATTTTTGGGGGCATTTATTACTCACTGATCTGCTGCTTTTTTATTTTGCCCCTTATTTATTTTTAATTATTTCTTTTCATTTTTGAGATTATATTATAATTACCTTGTTCCCCCTTCCCCACCTCTCTACACAAACTTTTCCATCTCTCTCTTTTTTTTCTCTCTCTTTCAAATTCAAGGCTTCTTTTTTCACTAATTGTTGTTACATACATATATGTATATATTTCTTAAAATATATGTACAACTTTCTCAGTCTGTATAAATGTTACCTGTATGTTTTCAGGGCCTCCTGAGGGCTGGGATTAAAGGTATGTGCCATCACAATCAGCTCTACTGACTGGTATTCTGGTGCTCATTAGTTCTTCTACTGTCTTTCTTGCTGACTGAGAACATCTTCCAGGGCCTTGTCATACCCTCACTATGGAAGGCAGGATTCTGCTGGGTGTTTTGCTTCCGTGTGACAATATCACAGACACACCATCCTTTTGTGCTAATTTACTTGTGACCAGTCATCTTCATATGGAAGTACTCAGAAGCAATTTTCTTGTTGTCCGTGATGGTTTGCTGGGATGGCAGCATAAAGCTTAACAGCAGCAAAGTCCAGAAATGGTAGCTGAGTTTTTCACTTTGGGAAGGTCAGCTCTCTTACCCAGGAACTGAAACATTGAGACTGAAACATCAAGCATTTCCTAAGGTTTTTGTTGTTGTTATTGTTTGTTTGTCTTTTTAAAAAAATTTTGTAGTCCAGGATCATATTAAGACAGAAAAACACGAACAAATTACGTAAAAGTAAGTGTGCTCCTTTCCAAATGCAATCAAATTTATCAACTTGTCATTGGGTTGTAATGGCAGAACAGTGTAGACTGTGGCTTTTGATCTAAAGGAACATGTCACACAGCATTTTATTAATAAAACACATATGGGGCAGGAGAGATTGCTCAGAAGTTAAGAACACTGGCTGTTCTTCTGAAGAGCCTGAGTTCAATTCCCAGCAACCATATGGTGGCTCACAACCATCTATAGTGAGATCTGGTGCCCTCTTCTGGTGCACAGGCACATATGTAGGCTGAATACTATATAAACAATAAATAAATATATCTTGAAAAAAGATTTTTTTATTTTTTAAAAAGGGCACATGGAACCAGGCGTGGTAGCACACACCTTTAATCCCAGCACTTGGGGAGGCAGAGGTAGGCAGATCTCTAAGTGTTCAAGGCTACCATGGTCTACAGAGTGAGTCCAGGACAGTCAATGCTACATAGAGAAACCTTGTCTCAAAAAAAAAAAAAAAAAAAAAAAAAAAAAAAAAAAAAAACCCAGTAAAAACAAAAACAAAAACAGGCATATGTAAAATTTCAAAGTTCCTGTAGGTAGGCCATGTTGACACATTTCTTTGTCATTCATGTAAGGGAGAAAACAGAAAAAACAGTTAGAGTGGATTAGAGAATACATTGTTGGACCATGGAGGAAGGAAAGTAATTTCCAGTTGGGGAGAGCTGGGCTAGCCATACCTTTGCTTACTTGGAGTATTTAGCATATGATTTGAACTAAAACCAATGCAGGAGATGGAAGAGTTAATAAGTACTGTCTCATTGAGTGATTAACATTTGCAGGGAAAGACTGACCAGGCTTTAATATGACTAGAAAGTTTAGCAAGAAACAACAAGTGGCAGGTGATAGTAGCATCTAATGTTAAGGAGGCCAAATACGGGATGATGGGGTGTTCCAACATGTTATAAAGGATAAGAAACATGGATAGGGATTCAGGCAGGCCAGCAGCGTCATGCAAATCTTATCAGAAAGATGCTAGTCACCAGCATGAAGTTTAAGTTTGCAGGTAAATTGGGGTTTGCTCACAGAAAAGTAGGGTTCTGTTTACATAGCAGCTAGTCAGCCAGTCAGGATATCTGGCAGGATTCAGACATAGGCCATGACATAGGTATTGGGTGGGCCTGATTTAGAAGGGGAGTTATTGGGTGCTTGTTATATGTAAGCTACATTACATATCTTATTTTCAATTTGAAAGGTCAGTTGTATTATGTTCATTTTATGTATAAGAAAATTGCCCACTTAATAAATATAAGCAAATTCCAGGAATTGATAACAGAACTACATTTCAAATCCATGGATACAGTATCTGAATATTTTCCTCTTGAATTTTTATAATCCTAATAAAGATTCATTTAGAACAGCAGGTCAGAGCCTGGGGAATCAGCCACGGCAGAGATGTATGGGGCCATGGCAGTATTCCATCCTAGGATAAGAAGGCAACATCCACTTTGATGGAGTGAGCAAAGCATGGAGCAGCACCTTTGCATGAGCAATTGACCAAGTATAAGATACGGTGGGTTCGAGAGTCATTTGAGAAGCTCAGTGAAGGATGTGGGCAGTCTCAAGAGTAAGTATCTATTCTACTGAGGAAAGAATAGCGTGGGAAAAGGAAGAGGCTTGAAAAATGCAGAGCAGATCTAAGGAAGGGCAAGGAGTTCAGAAAACTGAAGTTCAGCTTCTGGGAAGAGAAGCGAAGGGGAAATTAATGGGCATGTAGAGAGTCTGATGTAGCCTGGGGCTACTACGAGGCTGTGCCCAACATCTGATAATGGGTTCTACAGGAAGTGAGGCACAACAAGGGAGCTAATGAAAAGACAAGAGGCTGGACACATGGGAAGTCTTTGGATGCATAAGATTAGGGATGATAAAGGCTTGGACCAAGGTAATTGCAGGGATATGGAAAGGCTCAATATATGACTATGGCCTCCAGGCAGGAACTTTGAATTTTCTCCATATGCTACTAATAAAAAATCTGACTGGCTTTTGTTCCCTACTAGAATTCCTTGCAATGAGGATAAGCTTGTCTATATTTGTGCTGGCTTTTATAGATAAAAATGTAATCTGGAAAGATAGTATTGCTAACAATTTACATTGGGGGGGGCACCTATATAGAACAAGCCCATTGTCCTGACTAACACAATCAAAAGCCATTAAGGCATTAACCTAGCTGGCACAGGTTATTATTTTTAATAGATAATTGTTACTACCATGATATCTGATAGCATTTATTTTCTTTATTAAGTGCTTACTGTATGTTAGCAAAATCTTATATCTTATTCTGAGTCTGGAGAAGTCTGTCATATTATGCCCATTTTATATACAAGAGAAGTGATTAATAAGAAAATTCACGTTTTTGATGGTAGAACTACATTTCAAATTTACAAATATAGCTTGATACCAAGCATATTTTTATATTTCCCTCTTGAGTTCTTGTAACCATGATAAAATTCCTCTAGAGCATCCGATGCAAGTGTACACACTCATATATACATATATACATATTTTTGTATTCATATATATTCATACATATGTGTATATATTTTGTGCCAGGCGAGAAAGTCCTTATAATGTTTCCTTCATTTCTTACAGTTACACGGCCCTTTACTCACCTTGGTTGACCTTGTAGAGCTGTGTGTGGATATTTCAAAAGGCTGTGTCTACTTGGAGCAAATGCACTTCATCCACAGGTACTGTGATACTCTGGGTCCAAGGTTCTTGGACGGTTACCTGACAACTGTGTGTAGTTTGGGTACTCCGTACTAGAAAATTTAAACATGCTTATTCCTTCAAAGTACCAGTATCACTCTAAATAGCCTCTGTGTTAGCTACTTTTCTCATTGCTATGAGAAAAGCGATCTCCAACAAGTGCAACTTAAGGAGGAGAGCAAGGGCTTATTTTGCCTATAGTTTGAGGGAACCGCCCATCATGGCAGGGCAGTCATGGCACCAGGAGTGTCAGGCAGCTGGTCACACCACATCTGTACTCAGGAAGCACAGGGAGATGAACGCTGGGTTTAGCTGGCTTCCTTTTTCTTTTCTTTTTTAAATTTAATCAGCTATCCTATAGTTGTCCAAAATTAGAGTAGGTTTCCCACCTCAACTAACCTAATATGGAAACTCCTTTCAGACTTGCTCAGAGGTCTGTTTCCTAAGTGATTCCGGATCTTGTCAAAAATGTCAATTAGTGTTAGTCATGAGATGTCTTTCTTCTTTCCAGACCTTCTAGTCTTGCTTGTATGATCTCTGGAATGTTGCTTGTCATTATCAAATATAACTTCTACCATAGGGATCTGGCAGCTCGGAATTGCCTTGTCTCTGTGAAAGATTATACCAGTCCTCGGGTAGTCAAGATTGGTGACTTTGGGCTTGCCAGGGAAATCTATAAAAATGATTACTATAGAAAGAGAGGGGAAGGCCTGCTTCCTGTGCGGTGGATGGCTCCTGAAAACTTGATGGATGGAATCTTCACTTCTCAGTCTGATGTATGGTGAGCTAAATATGACACAGAAAAATGGGGACAAAACTGTTAAATATCAGGATGTCTAATTTTGTTTTTAAATTATACTTTATTCTCTCTTTCTCTCTGCCTCTTTCTCTGTCTCTGTTTCTCTCTGTAAGAGAGAGAAACCATGTATGTGCAGGGAAATATAATGCCTCACCTGAGGCTGGTGGTCAAGGAGATCTATTATAGGTCTCATATCTTTTACACCGCTATCAATAATTTTTTTCACTGTTTATCTTACAATAGTACATGAAATAGACTCATTTATTTCAAGTATTTTGCTAGTCACCAAAGTGTGTATATTTGCATCTAGTAGAAATGCTATTTATCAATAAGGCTCATGAATGTGCCTCAATACTTTCCATAGGGGATGTCTCTACTTGTTTATAGATAGAACTGAAGTCATGGATCATAAAAATATATAGAACATTGGGAAAGTTTACTCTTGTGATTATTTGAGTTTTGCTTGTTGGTTACCAGCTTTTGATTCGAGCTTCTAAAAGTTTATAAATTCAGTGAATTTTAAGCTGTTTAAGCCACAAGGAAAATTATATAGGAGAAACTTCACCCTCAGCAATCCATTCTCATTTACGACTGTCTTCTCCATGTTTGTCTCCATTTTATCCTCTTCACATTCAGGGGGGAGAAAATGGTGACAAGCTCTCTTGCTCACCTCCATGTGTGTCTGCATGTTCTCTTGTGTGCTTGTGTCTCTGTGTACATGTGTGCCTGTTTCCACATGTGTGTCTGGGTCTCTGTGTGTGTATAAAATCTCCCCCCCCCCGCCGCCACCCAAGCCTTTCTATCATCTTTGAAATGTGGCTCATCCACACTGTCTTGTTCTATTTTTTTCTTAATATCAACCTCCTTTTAAGTCTCCTGTTTGCTTTTTATAAGGCCAATAATGCCAATCACAAAGTAGACCCTGTAGCCTCAGGAATAATAATGTTGGAGAAGCTACTGTAAACCTGATGTTTGTAATAAATATAATTAAAGAGAACCCTTTAACGTCCTAGGTCTTTTGGAATTTTGGTTTGGGAGATTTTAACTCTTGGTCATCAACCTTATCCAGTGCATTCCAACCTTGATGTTTTAAACTATGTGCAAGCAGGAGGGAGACTGGAGCCACCAAGAAATTGTCCTGATGATCTGTAAGTTAATTATGTTAACATAAGCGCCCCCAAAACAGAAACATGTGCACACGCAGTCATAGCGCTCCCCGGAGTGGCTTGTTAAAGAAAACCTGGGATTTATATATTTGCACATCCCACATAAACTATAAAATGAGGGTGGGATTTAATTTACTCAATACATTAGGGCTTTGTTTTTATGTATGCATGCTGTATTTTACTTCAGTACCAGAATTTGGAGAGTAGAATATATTTGTAGTCATTGTAAGTAAATTCAAATAAGTAAATATGAGATCTGTGTGTGTGTGTGTGTGTGTGTGTGTGTATGTGTACTTCTTCATTTTACTTTGAGAGTCTTTATTTGGGTATTACCTTAATTTGTACTTTAAAATATTCTATTACATAGAAATATAATAGTTAAAAGTTCAATTGTCTTTTTGATATAACTTATACTGATTGATGGAATATAGTATTGCTAAAAATTATACAGATTGATTTGTTTATACACTTAACACAAAATTGCTGTGACATACAGTAAAACACAACTATAATTGCGTAAAAATAATGTTGTAATGTACAATAACTTGGTCAAATTGATCCTGGCTACGTTGAGTTCTAATAGCAGCTCCTTACATGTGAATGACTTGAGCTTAATTACAAAGGGAAAAAATTTCAGCTGTGCGGAATAGTTATTCACTTCCCGTGGATAATATCGACAGAAACACCACATCTTGGGACTTTTTTAAAGGGGTATTTCACCTAAAAGATTTATTAAAAACAACAACAACAACAACAAATAACAAGCAAGTAGAAACTATCACACATACCCTGCCAAGCCAAGGATTGTGTGTGTACAGAGGTCTTTACGGCAGGTCCACAGCTCTTGTGCATCTTGGAATGTACTCTGGGTGAGATGGTGGAGGCATCAGGCGGATGTCTAGCCAGCACATAATAAAGTGCTAAACTGTGTGGTACAGACAAATGCAGAAGGAATTAGCAGTATGCGGATGCACACCGCGGTTGTACTGCCTTGACTGTGCTGTGTTATTTCGAGCACTATTTAGAGTTGAGCCAAGGAATGATTAAGAGCTGGGCACCTTGGTTGGACGCTGTACCAGTGAATGTTTCTGCATAATTTCAGTCTTCTAGCTAGAAGATATAAATTGCCACATGTTTCTGATTCAGCCTTCAGACCTTTCCGATGCGTGCACGCCTGGCCACATTTGATAGCAGGGCCTTAAACTGATTTGTAAGTGTCTTGGGGGAAGATGAGAAAACCTTTAACTTAAATAAATAATAGCAGACATTAAATTTAGGGCTACAGGGGGAAAAAAACCTAGTATGCCCAAACATGCAATAGATTTTTAACTACATAGTTTGAAAACTGATCACTATTTTCTACCTCCTACTCATACCTTAAACACTCAGAAATTCCTTCTAGAATCGTAATTATAAAAAAATTTCCCTTATGCTTTTATAATTTTGTCTTTCATGTTATTCTCTTCCACAAGGGGTAGGGAACATATATCATCAAAAAACATGCAATACTTTTGGATAGGCTTTTAAGAAATAGATTATTGAATTTTACATTTTTCTGTGTTCAGTTATCTTGTCTTGGGATAATGAAAATGAATATAAATTGATGTGTGGTGAAATAAAATGCATAAGTATCTCAGATTTTGCTGTATTCAAAGGAATTAAAAACTCAAGGAGGAAGAAATACTAGAATGTTCTTATTAGGAATAGAGGGAAAGGCTAACATTTAGTTTACTTTTGTCTTAAATAATTTCTTAAATGAATATATTATTGACCTATTTTTTACTACTTTTATATGACATATTCTGCTTATGGTTTCTCTTCCCCTGACTCCTCCCATATCATCTCCAACTCCGCCAACCACCCAAACCCACATCCTTCTTCAGTTTCTCTTATTAGAAGCAAACAGCTGTCTAAAAAAAGTAATAATAAAATAAGTCAAAATGAAAACAAGCAAAACTGAATAGGACAAAACAAATCAAAGAAAAACAAAGATGCAAAGAAGTGCACAAGAGACACATGTAGATGCACACACACACACACACACACACACACTGACAAACACAGAAATCCCATAAAAACACTAAATCATAAACCATAACATATAATCAAAAGACCTGTAGGTTAAGAAAAAAAAAAGGCCAAACAAAGCTTAAGAAACAAAACAACAAACAAACAAAAACCCTCCATGAATACCATTGAGTGTTGACCCACTTTTTATTAAAATATACTTTCCTGAAACCAAGACTGCCCGTTGGTGGTTCTGTAATTAGTTTGGGCATCATAAAAAATGAGCAGTACTTTTAGCTTTGTGACTCTGCAGATCCCCGGGAAGCACTGAGAGACACCACGGAAACAAGCTGCCTGGGAAGTAGAGCTTTCATGCCATTCAATCTGGCCATGGCCTTAAGTTGTCATGATAAAGATTAACTTCTCTTCTTGGAGCCCAAGGGGGACTAAGTTTTATTTGAAGCGCTTCTCTGAGGTCACAGGCACAGCTTAGAGGCTGAAAGTCTGCACTGAGCCTCACTGCGCCTTCCACTCACCACCTAAATGCTCAGCACCTGGCTGCTTTCTGAGTCAGGTGAGCTCTGCAAACCCTGCTCTCCTTAGCTATTGCTGGAATTTGGAGTTCAGAGCATTCCTGGAGTCTGTGCAAAGGCTCAGGTGGACAGGGGAAAGCCTAAAGCCCAGCAGACACTGTTCTCTCTCCAGATCTTACCGTGAGCAACCACCACACCATTCCTGTGAAGAAACAGGATCAAAGGGACATCTTCTGTAAGTAAGAGCTTTCTGGGGCCTTGTGATGGACACATCACAGTGGCAGGCTTGTTGGAGAGACCCGCAGATGTAGGAGGCAACAGTGGCAGGCCATGCAGTCAGAACTTATCACTTCGACTCTGAAAAATGTTCAGCTCAGTCCTAAGAATGTCTCTCTGGGATTGTACACAATGAGAAGAGGGATTCTTGAAGTTTGTATTTTTTTTGTGTGTCTTATTTAAATAGTTACAGACACTTGCCTGCTTAAAAGTAAAAGATGCCATGACATGTTCCCCTGTTGAACTTCAATGGCTTCATGAAGCCAAGGACTTTAATATGCATGAAGAGTAATACTGAACACACTAACGAGTCTCATGCTATTTTGGAACAAAACAAAACAAAAGCAAAGATGTAAAGAAGATCAAAGAGTCACATTAGCAGGGGGAGGATTTGAAGCCCAATACTTAGCCAAATGAATTATTCCAAGTATAGTGGGTACTCTCCTAGATTAGAACAAGCATCCCATACAAATTTAAATGAACCCAAGAAATAGCAAATGCATCTAGTATAGTATAAAGTATAGTGTTTGTTACTGTGCCTTTGGAGGTGTGTCATGTACAGTACTAGGCACCGACATGAGCATTGCTAAGACGCCACCCCTGAGCCACAGCTGTAATTGCTAATTTACTTGAAAGACCTAAGTAAAGCTTTCTTAGGATTATTAAATTCTTAAAAGCCTCTTCACTTCATCCCGTTGCCAGTTTATTGCTGTCCAAGGCTACAGTCTTTTATTTTAGCTTTATGTAGCTCCTCGCTTCTTAATCTGTGTCCGTCTCTGCCTACTGGGACAGACAGGCTTTGTATATTGTGTTTTGCCATCTAGAAGATTAAGAGTGATGACTAAATTTAATGCAAGGTAAGAATCCTTCCTAGATAAAAATATTAAGCACATCTATGCAAAGAAATTATATAGATAAAATAAGAGCCAGCACTTTGAGAGGACAAGGGCAGATGTGTGGCTGACAGGTTAAGTGTCAGCCATGGGGTGACTGCCTTCACTTTCTTCTTTCTCCTTCCTCTTTCTTCCACTCCTCCAAGTAGTGTCTATTACGTAGGTTACCAATAAGCCAAAACTTTGAAATGCGATGGCTTGACATATTTTGCCAGTATCTAGGCAATCATCTCTATTCTCAGAAGCACTGCCTTGAAGAATTACTTGTTTTTCTCATTTTAATTCTTAAGAAAACTTCTAGATTATGTTTTAATTACTGCCTTAGGACCTGCAATTTGATATCAACTATAATCTTATCTGTGAAATCAGCGGGTCAGCTTTGTGCCTACAAGACACAGATTATAAAAGAGGAGGCTATGGATTTGGTCATTGTTTAGATCTTTCTCAACTGTGATTCTAGCATAATAAAAATAAAGTTAATCAAAGCAGATGCTGAGGCTCATAGCCAAACTTTGGGCAGAGTGCAGGGAATCTTATGAAAGAAGGGGGAGGTAGAAAGACCTGGAGAGGACAGGAGCTCCACAAGGAGAGCAAGAGAGCCAAGAAATCTGGGCCCGGGGGTCTTTTCTGAGACTGATACACCAACCAAGGACCATGCATGGAGATAATCTAGCACCCCTGTAGCCCATGGCAGCTCAGTCTCCAAGTGGGTACCCTAGAAAGGGGAACAGGGACTGTCTCTGTCATGAATTCGGTGGCTGGCTCTTTGATCACCTCCCCCCTCAGAGGGGAGCAGCCTTACCAGGCCACAGAGGAAGACAATGCATCCAGTCCTGATGAGACCTGATAGGCTACAGTCAGATGGAAGGGAAGGAGGACTTCCCTTATCAGTGGGATTGTAGAGGAGCATGGGAGGAGATGAAGGAGAGAGGGTGGGATTAGAAGGAAATGAGGGAGGGGGGTTACAGGTGGGATATAAAGTGAATAAACTGTAATTAATATAGAAAAACAGAAAGAAAAAAGAAAAAAGTCAACAAGAAAAAAATAAAGCTAATTCTGGCATTCTGTAACCAAACTATATGTCTGTCCCTTGAAGGTATCGGAATAGTCCACAGAAAACATCTAATGTTGTTTTTTCACAATACCCAGATTTTCAGCACTAACCTAGACTTGAGCTACATGTCTAGAAGTGAAATAAATACAAGTGGAGTTTAATTATAAAATATTCAAGACTGCACTATAGTTCCTAATACAGACACTTAAATATAATACCTATGGTGACTTCTGGGCATTTGTCACCTAGTGATTGAATATAATCCTGTTCTGGTTCCAGTCTCATTGCTTAGTCCAAACCATAATGCCTCTTATTCGATAGCTTCCACTTGGCTCTTCTGCCATCCAATACCCATCTATCAGCTGGAATTATCCTTTACAAATGCAGGGGTGTAGTTTTAGATCTCTAGTAGCTGCTTGCTAGGTTGGTGAGACTTATGTGACTCTGCTTCCCCTTCTGAGGTCATTTCATTCCTCCCCTCCACAATTGCACTTCAGCCATTCTGGATTTCTTTGATTTTAAAATGTGCCAAGCTCTTTCCAAATGTAGCACTTTGCCCGTGCTTTCCTCTCTTTTAGTGCACTTCCTGATTGCTGTACACACTCTGCTCCAATGACTAGGGTCTTCTCTTCCTACAAGCTCACAGGCTGAAATGGCATCACTGAAGCAGGACCCTCCATGGGAGCTCACCAGAAATGTTCCCGTGTATTAGAACACATGTTTACTTTCCTTGTGTTTTTGGAAGAACACAGTACAATTTGAATTATATATTTTTCTATTGATATGCAAATACTTTTAAATGCTTCCTGGTTTGTGTTTACTTATCTATTCCTCTGTTCATCCTTAATCTGCTTCATTGTTCTGAAAATCAAAAAAAAAAGAAAGAAAGAAAAGAAAAAGAAAGGAAGAAAGACAGAAAGAAAAAAGAAAGCATGTAATTGCTCATACATGTGTCTTCTAGACATGACAGGAAGCTATACCCATGGAATTTTAGCAATATGGACCTGCCCAATTTGATTTGTGAACGTGGACTGGAAATTTTTCTAAGGTCCTCCCTGTAGATGAAGAGCTACAGACAATGGCAGCTGAGCAAGGGAAAATCAACATTTTTGAGGGATGAACTCTTTCATCTCAAGTGGTCAGCCCTAAGTACATGTACACATGTGAAATGCTAAATGAGCTCCGTAGGTATATGTGTATATATGAATGTGTGTTTAACAACAATAATTTAAAAAGAAGAGGTTATAAAATTGTCGAGAGCGAGTGAGGAACATGGGAAGAGCTGGGGGAAGGGATAGAAATATATATGTATATATAGAGAGACATATGTATACAAAGTGTATATAAGGTACTCATATATGAAAATTTATATAAATAACTAACTGAATTTTTAAAATAACTAAATTCTTAAAAAGTTTATAGCTTAGAAAACCAGTCATGGAGGTAACAGAGCTACCCAGAGTCCTTTAGCTCGGTATTAGTGGTGTATGAAATACCAAGTTGAGCTACTGTACCAGTGTTAACTACTACACTGTTAAAGAGAGCCTGAGTAGAAGCTTCATTGCTTTTAAGCTCTGGGCTAGTGTGAGAAGAGAATGTCCTAGATAGAGGTAGGAGGTGTTTGATAGCTAGGTCCTCGTCTGCAGGCTTCCAGTGACTGTGTGGGCCACAGCAAGGTCAGAAACAAAAGCAGTGCCTTTGCCTTTGCAGGGATGGCAGGGAAAACATTGAACAAATGACCCTCCCTCCCCTTCCTGCTTTGACACAGGGAGACTGGTCATAGTTACAAAGGTGGAATGGCATGTCAGACGGAGAAAATCAGGTTTATGTTCCAGACTGTTTTTGCTTCCCATAGGGTATGAATATTTTGTGCAGAGTTAGGTATTTAGCCAGGTAGCATATGGGGACACAGCAGAAATGGGAGTGGCTTTCCTGAGACCCATCTACAGATCCAAGCTATGATAGAGTCATAGAGAAGCCTGAGGCTAGAGACGATGGACGCTCTACTTAAGGGGAAAGATACCCAAGAACCAGCACAGCTGACAGAGACTTGGTTGTATGGGTACACACAGGGGGGATGAGGCCTGTTACTCTGGATTGAATTCCAGATCAGACCTGGAGATTAGGGAGGGTCCCTTGTGGTGCCACCACATAGCAATATGCCTCTTTCTTTTCTGGTGCATATATTGATGCTATTTGGAAAGAAGGATGGATGGGATGGGAATAGCCTAGAAATGAGACAAACTGAGTTATTACAGGGAAATGTGACCATTATCTAAAAAGATCGTTTAAAATGGTGAATTGAACTAGATCATATAGCACATCCTCTTAAATGAAGTTGACTATCTTCTTTTAGGTGGGAACCTTAAAAATATTTAATTATAGACAATATTTAGAAAGTTATTTCCCGCCCCCTTCATTTCAGTTGCAGTGTGATAAATTGTCACTGTTTTTCATTTTCTGTACATTTCACCTGTAAAGACAGGAACCACACTGCTGGAAACCCTAGCTCCCAATGTTATGCTGGTGTAAAACAAATGTCTAATCCATGTATGGTGAGTCAATGGGTAGATTCTGTAACAAGTGCTGTATATACATTTCTTGGGAAGTCATTCAGGAAAAGGCAATTCAGTCCACTTGGCTGTGAATGTCTGAGGAGCTGGGAGTGTCTGAATGAATCTTGGTAGTGTATGAGGAATAGTCCTGGACTCTAATCTGGTTTCCACCTCTCATCCTCTTTCTGCCACTGTGTATCTCTGTAGATGGAGTAAACCTTAGATTTTGTTGTATCTTTCTATGAAGTTAAAAAAAGCTCTGCTTCTTCAATAGTTTTTAAAGGTGGTAGATCCTTGATGTGCTAAGCAGACATTTCCAAGCATCCATTTACACATCTTTTGACTCAGATTTGGTTACTGCTGAGATAATGTCAACCTTTCAAAAGACGTGCCCTGTGTATTATAAGCTCTAATGTTGTAGCTGCTCTTAAAAACTAATCTTCACTCTGTTGATTTGTATTAAACACAGGAATGTAGAAACAACTCTGGCTCTCTAACATCCCCCTTCCCCAGATCTTATATCAGTAACAACATCCTGTCATTGTGTACTTTCTCATCTTTACCCACATGTCCAGGTGGAATTTAATGTCTCAATGCTGGGCTCAGGAACCTAACCAAAGACCCACTTTCCATGACATTCAAGACCAGCTTCAGTCATTCAGAAGTTTTTCCTTAAATACTGTTTCTCAGTGCGAAGAAACACGTGCCCGTGGAGTCATCAATGAAGGCTATGAAGGTAAGTGTGAGCCTTCAGAATTTTTTCCCCAGTGTGACTGAAAAAGGTTATAATGGGATCTACATAGCAGGTACATTAGGGTATGTAAGGATAATATTATGCTAGTACTGTCATTATACTGTTTGTTGTATACCTCTTTGAAAAAAATACCTTGTATTGTATATTAAACTTAAAGAAACAGATCATGCTTAGCTAAGGTAGTCGAAAGGAGAGTTCACTTGCTAGGCTGTTTCTCTTCAGTCTGTTCGTGGCCTCCCTACCTTTCATCAGTTGTATTTCAACTGCGGAGTCTAGTTTAGATAATTACAGACTCTCTGTTTATGGCACATTATCATCATTGGCCTCTGTAGGGCTTCTCCCTCATTTTGTTTATTTGTTTAGTCCGTTTGTCTCCATATTTTTCTCTGGTTTGACTCCCTCTCCCCCCTGCCAAACAACAAGTCTAATTACTTTAATGAATATCTTTCTATTTGTATGTTTTCCTAAAAATATGTATTTTGGTATGCATGAATATGAGGGACTGGCAAAAACAACTTGGTGGGCATGAAGAGGAGAAGACAGAAAAAAACGAGGAAAACCCCAAGGGACTGTTGTCATGGAAACCCAAAGTACAATGATCAGCTAGTGAAGGAAGGAGTGGGTGAGTGCTACAGAAATAGCCAGCCTTACAAAGGGGTACATGGATCTTACAGCTGACCTGTATTCTATATTTTATTTAATTATTCTTTTGAAACATAGCCATATGTAGCCCAAGCTGGCCTCACACTCACCATGTAACTGAGGATGATTTTTGTCTTAGGGTTTCTATTTCTGTGAAGAAACACCATGACCGTGGCAATTCTTATAAAGGAAAACATTTAATTGGGGCTGGCTCACAGTTGAGAGGTTTAGTCCCTTGTCATCATGGTGGGAAGCATGGTGGCATGCAGGCAGTCATGGTGCTGGAGAGGTATCTGAAAGTCCTACTTCAGATCCAAAGGCAGCAGAAAAAGAACTGTCACACTGGGCATGCTTTGAATATCTGAGACTTCAAAGCTCACCCCCTAGTGACACACCTCCTCCAACAAAGCCACACCTCACCTCATAATACTGCCACTCCCTATGGACCTATGGGGGCCATTTTTATTCAAACCACCACAACTTTGAATTACCAATCCTCTTGTCTCCCCTTGAGAGTGCTAAGATTACAAGTGTGCTGGGCTCTACTTGCATTATATTTTAAAAATTCAGGTTTTTACTCATGGAGTCTTTCCTTCCTAGTGCATTAAACATATTTTACCAAAATCACCAAGGCTGCTCCCATGGTCCTGAGAGGTTATCTTTTCCTGAAGTTCTACCAGAAGTTTCCATAGACCTATTAGTGGTTCACCTATGAGGCTGAGAAAGGTAGCAAGTGATGCCGACATCAAGACATGGTCATACACTCTCTGGATTACGCTACAAAAGATTGGGCTGTACCACCAGACAGAACAAAAGAACTTATCCCTAGCTGCTTGCTAGAAATGATGCACCATGTTGGTTTGGTTATACAAAAATATATTTATATGCTGAATGTTGACAGTCTAAATATTATAAGGGAAGTCCAATGTAGTGACACATGGCTACAATCCCAGCACTTACTAGACAGATATTATCATAAATTCAAAGCTAGCTGGGTTTACAAAGGGAGTTCTAGAGCGAGATATTTTCTTAAAAAAACAAAAAGAAGTAGATAAATATCATTAATAAAATCAGAGAGTAAACATAAGCATTCGGAATAAGGAGGCAGGAAATTGTAACAGAAAACAAACTATGATGATTCAGAGACTAATCTGGGCTGACAGAAGTCTAACTAGTAAAAGAGAAATTATCATTCTACTGTTTGAAGTTAAGGAATGGAAAGAAGTAGGCGAACCACTAGAAGCTATGACACCCAAGGTTATGATTGAAGAAGAGAGGCAGGTATGAGAGAAGAAACAGAAGGAAGAGGGGAGTTTGCATATTTGCAAAGATGTAAATCCTGAAGCAGTTTTTGTAAGGCAAACCTCAATGTAATTATTATTTATAATACATGAGAAATGTGTTTAGTGGTAGTTTGCTGCTTTGCAGACTAACGAGCATATTTAACACAGCACTGAAGTGTCAATCTTTGCTGTCAATGTGGGAGACGTATAAGAAACCAAGAAAGTCCCTGGAAACTTTTTTTCCATTTTTCAAATAAAGCACTGTAGAATTACAGCAATAATAGCAATAATGCTATGCCTATCTTCTGCTCCTACTGACCTAATGGGGGAGAAGGAGGTCAGAAGGGGGACATGGTAGAAGGGGAGGAGGAAAGAACAGAGAGAGAGGAGAGGAGAGGAGAGGAGAGGAGAGAGAGAGAGAGAGAGAGAGAGAGAGAGAGAGAGAGACAGAGAGATTAGTAACATATCTGGGCACCTAGTAAAAATATCCCAGTGACTTCATCCCAACATTTGTGTAAACATCACCTCACCAGCCCAGAGAGTTCTACAGGAAACAAATCTCAATGCTCCTGTGCTGTTCTAAACATAGCCAGTCAGCCGGCATATGTCTCGCCTCTAAATACCCTGTCTTACTCGGAAGTCTTTATTTTAATATTTCCCTTCTAAAGAGGTTGCTGAGTGCTACTACCTTTGTTCAGAATATCGGCCTTAACTCTGATCTGCAGATTTTTGTAGCGAATACTCTTAAACAAACGTATCAGACAAGCTTCCCCATCATCACCATCTCTCCCGAGCTCTTTATGCAACAAGATGTATTAATTGCTAAAAGCTTGCCAGGATCAAGTTACTAAATATTGCTGCCAGCACTCTGAACCAATGAAGTGGGTAGTTAATGGTTTTTCTTAGGCACACAGAAGCATAATTTGCAAAAAGGAAATTATCTGTTTTATATAAATGATCTTTTCTATTCCCTCAAATTCATCAAAGCAAAAATAATTAAACTTTTGCATGGTGGAATAGACTAAATGGACGTCAGTGAAAGAGCTAACAAGAGTGGAAAATGGGAACTATAAGCATAAGTTGTGTGAATTCTTCGAGCCATCATAATGAAAAGCAACTCCATTGGAGCTGCTCAATGACTTAATGTTAAATATATTATTTGTTGATGTTTCCTATTGCTATTATTATAGATAGCAACTTAATTAATATCTGTAGTGCATATTGGCAATACCCACAGTAGAATTTGGGTTATCCCTGGCTATTCAGCGCTTGGGTATTAGGCAAAGTTGACATCTCATGAAAAGTGCATTATCCTCACTGCTCCTCACACAGCATGGAAATTCAACCCACCTCTGAGAGAGGCGTGTCAGGATACAAACACATCCTAGCTATATGGCCTTGAGCACATTATTGAGCTCCTTCATCCCCCGTCTTTCTCATCTTTTAAGTGCAGACAGTAACAGTACCTAATCAATAGGAAAAAATGAGTTAACATATGACTATAGCTTAAAATGTTGCTCACTGCACAATAAGGGCTCTATAAGGATAATCTTGAACAATAATCGTAGTAATTATTCATTTACTGCCAGTCACCAGCCTCCTCCTTCAACCTCGCCACCCAACATGGCCAGGTGTGCACTCTTTTCCTCATGTGCACTGCTGAAGATGACCAGCCCCATCAGCTTCCTGCTGTTACTTCATCTGGCATCCTCCTGCCTCTGAAGCCTTGTTCTTGTCTCTCCTTTCAATGCTCTTAGAATAGCGGCACAGCTGAACCAACACAGGGCTAAAAGGGGAGGCAGGGTGAGTGGTACATTCCTGTTACCCCACACTCTTAAGGCTGAGGTAGAAAGGCTGTGAGTTCAAGTCTTCCTGGGAAACTCAGGGTTACCCAGTCTCAAAAACTTATGGAAGGACAGGCACGTAGTTCCGTGGTAAATGACTCAGGCAACGTGGTTGAGGCCCTAGGTTTAATTTCTTATACTGTGATGAACAAGAAAAACAAAACAAAAACAAACAAAAAAACCAAAATGAAAGATCTACATGGAAAGTTTCCTTATTTAATCTACATGTCTGCTAGAATCTTACCTTGCTCAGGGGTACTTTATGACCACTATTTAAAGTAGTAGCTCCTTTCCATGTTATTATTCTCTAGGCCCTTCCTCTGCCCACTGCTCTCCATGGTCTACTGGTTTACTGAGCATCTCTTTTTACCTGAATGTAAACTTTAGAGAGCAATGACTCTGTGTTATAGATAGGCAGTACATACCTTACTCCTGGTAGATTGTATATCTTATGCATTATCTTAACAAGCAGTCAGTAACCTGGCATGGTGGTACACACCTGGAAATCCCAGCACTTGTGAGGCTGATGCTGGAAGATCACTTCCAGTTCATGGCTAATCTGGTCTACATAGCTAGACCATATTTTTTAAAAAAGAGAGAAAAGGGCTGGAGAAATGGCTCAGTGGTAAAGAGAGGTAACTGCTCTTCCAGGTCCTGGGTTCAATTCCCAGCATCCACATTCACAACTCTCTGCAACTCCAGTTCCAGGGCATCTGATGCATGCAAGCAAAATTTACAAAAGACTCATAAAAATGTTTGAAGAAAAAGGAGAGGGAGAAGAAAAATGTGCTTTGAAAATAAGTAGTTAAATGGCCAAATATGAAGGAATATTTATAGTGCCTTTAAAGGTAGATACTCAATTGTATGATAAAGTATGATGACCAGGTCAAAGGCGATTCGAGACAAGGAGCTCCTAACCTTTATCATAAAGGCAGTGACCTGTTCCACCGTGTAAGTATATTCTCTCCCTCGTGGGATACTTTATACAGTCCTTTATGTAATTGCACAGCACCACTTACTCTGATATGTCTGCTCCTCTTCTAGAGCACCGTGCACTAAAGGACAGGGAGCCAGCTCTCTTTACTCTTGTCTTCCTGGCATTCAGATGTCCTCATAAGAGCCTGCCAAGCAAATATACAAAGCTGAAGTTGCCCCAGTTCATATAGGGCTTGTGTATTTTTATTAGAAACAAAAGAAGTTAGATGGATAAGGTAACAGCATCTCTATCCGCTTACAGGTGAAGATAATAGAATGGCTGCTTTGAATTCAGATGATGAGATGCCAGTTGCCTTGGCAGAAATCAAGAACCAAGAAGGATTAAAATATATGGTACTTGCCACAAAGTGTAGCGAAGGTGAGGAAAACTATGACGGTCCTCTAGGTCCTAAGGAATCTGGGTCTCATGGTCTGAAGAAAGATGAGAAGCAACCACATGCAAACAAAGATTTCTGCCAAGAACAGCACATGGCTTATGGTCCTCCTGGCAGGTCTGAAGGCCTGAACTACGCCTGCCTTGCTCACAGTGGACATGGAGATGTGTCTGAGTAATAGCATCTTATTGTAAATACAGCTCTATGATCAACATCATGTTAAGTTACTTGCAGCAAAGAATAAAGGTGTGGTGATGGTCTTAATTGACAAAGCGAAGTTCCTAAGTACTGTTCTTGATTCCAAGAGCCATTTGGTTTCATTCACAGCATTCTCTTTACCAGTGACCTAACCTTCAGTTGATTGTGAGAGGAAGCTTCGTGTGTGGGGAAATCTCAGGACAAATTCTAAGTCTGGGAGGAAAACATCAGTCACTGTCCCTCTTTTCTGCAGCCCTTTACTTCAGAACACTGCCTACCCTGCTGTCTGGGATGCAGTACAAACATCTCTGCTAAATGATTAGTGACAGGAATATGTCCTTTCAAGGACCTGAATGAGGGTGGGGATGGGTTAGGTGCGGGGGGAGTCTGCTGAGGACCACCTGAACTGCAGGTTACCTTAAAGAGGATGCAGGAAACAATTAGAGACACATACAGGAGGGGGAAGCTCTTGTGCCATGAGAAATCATCTGGCATGCTATTATTCCAGTAAAATATTCTCTTTAATCATCACTGTAAAATTTTTTCTATTTTGGAAGCTTGGATGAGCAGCTTTAGGCGTAGGAAAAACAGGGCCATGAAAATCTCTGGATCTTAAAGTTTGACATTTTGTGGGTTTTAGGTGGCATAAAAATTATCTTGTGATTTAAAAATGATTTTTTAAATATGTATGTATATATTTTAATTTTGTGTGTATGAGTGTTTGCATGCCTGAAGGCATGCGCACTACATGCATGCTTGTGCTTGGTGCCCTTAGAGGACTGAAAAGAGTGTTGGAGCTCCTAGAACTGGAGTTACAAATGGCTGTGAGCTGCCGTGATGGGTGATGGGAAATAACCTGGGTCCTCTGGAAGAGCAGTCAGCTCTCCTAATCTCTGACTCTTCTTTTTAGTCCCTGTTTTGTGATTTTTTTGTCAGCTACCATGAAAACTAATGTAAGGATTATTCGGAGGAAAAGACCCAGTGGAGAGCACCTGGCTAGCATGAGCTTGCTTCTGTTCCCAGCACCGCTCACTCATGGTTATTCACACTCACACAACATTATTTTTGTCAGACCTAGTTTACATACAAAATCTAGAATGAATTATTCTTAAAATTAAATGTAAGTGATTATATACATTTAGCTTCAAACATTGTAATTTTTATCAGATGCATGGAAAAAAATAAATATTTGCATGAGTACAATTAAAACAATATTCAGGAAAACACTGCTTGGAAACCGGTTTTCCTTTACAGTTACATGTTCGCATCTTATGTCTTAAGTGGTGCAGGAGCTACGCCTATGTTGCTAGTCTGTGTGTTCTTCAGTTGCTGTGCATAGGCTATTGATGGTAACATTTACTAAAAACTACCGTGGAAGATCATAAATCTGTTTCCATCTTTGCTAATCTTTAACTTGCCTAGCACCCGAGAACCCACACAGGAGACCTGCTGAGGTGAACACAGAGAAGTGAATGGTTCTAATTTGGGGGTGAACAGCCTCAGAGTTAAGGTACAGAATTTATGTTCACTTTGGCACCCACCCAATTCTCCTTTGACTAAGGCAGGGTATTTCCTTTCTGCTCGTGGACGCCTCAGTGTACAACTGTCATTCCTTTGACTGGTTCATGATATGAGAGCCTTCCCTGTATGGAAGAGTTTTTCTATACTACTCTCAGAGTGGGAGCTAGGTCACACCACTTCCTCGGAACTTCCTGCGGCAAGACGGCAAACACGTGACCCATGCACCCAGGATGCTCCCCTAGAGTTCGTGGCAACAGTGGAGGCAGCAGAGACAGCAGAGGGAACCTCTCTTAGAGATGGGCAGACTGGACTGGTTCTGCTGGCTGCTTCTCATTGCTTCCTGCTCTATGGCCTCCCATTCTTTCTGGGATTCTGCTTGTCACCTCCAAACATTTTCAGAAAACACTTCTAAATCAGAGAATTACTTTTGCTACCTGTAACTTGGGATTCATTCTTCTAGCTCCACAGATCTCTGTTTTGAAGAATGCAAAGATATCTGAGATGCTAAAGAGAATTAGGTTTGCAGTATAATATATTTTCACTACAATTTGGACAGTAGAGAATATACAGCTAGCTGAGGGAGAATAGGCAATACAATTTTCCTAACTTGTTTCAGCTAACAAGAGTAAGTTAGCAGTCTTAATTTATAATGGATAATACTGGCAGAAATATTTCATACAAAATAAAATAGTGTCTGGAAATCTTGTGGGAAACTGTTAAAGATAAAAAAATAATTGCTGGAATGTAACTGATTTGTTGATTACAGAATTGTAATTCTACAAGTGAAAATCAATTCCGGAAAAATTAGAGAAAAACATGCAATTCTGGAAAAATGACACATGTTAAAATGGTGGAAGAGGGGGACAGGATGAGAGCTTACTATAAGGGTCCTCTGAGAAGCTCCACCCAACAGGGGATTGAAGCAGCCGCTGAGACTCACAGTCAAACTGTGGACAGAGTGCAGGGGGTCTTATGGAAAAAGGAGGTGAATAAAATGTATTATTTACTAATGTTTAACAGAAAAAAATATTTTTGAAAAATTTCATTTTCAAGGTATGACCTGAGAATGTTGGAGAGGGGAAAAATAATGCTTGTACATGCATAAGCCATGAGTGGTAAAGTTTTAGATGAAATAGTTAATTAAATGGTAAATTTAATTTCCACTTAAAATAGTTTAAAGAAAAGAGATAACTTTGAAGAAAAATCTAAGTATGTTGAAAATGAAAAGTATAACTTATAGGGCTGGAGAGATGACTCAGTGAGAAAGGTGATTGCTAAGCAAGTGTAAGGATGTGAATTTGAATCCTCAGCACCCACATAAAAAGCTTAATGTGGCACTGTGCCCCTGTGACCCAAGCATTGGAGACAGAGACAGGAGGACACTCAGAGCTTTCGGCCAGCCAGCCTGACTAAAACAGTGAGTGACAGGTGCAGTGGAAGACCGTGTCTCAAAACAAACAAATGGAAAACCAAAAACAACCAAAGAGATGGAGGACTAATTGAAGAAGGCGTCAGGATGGCCTCCTTATATGTGTCTCTCTATGTGAGCATATCCATATCCAGCACACACACAGACCTACAGCTCAGCCTTTTCAACTAAACAAAAATTTACCTAAACAAAACTGACACGTTGCTACAATTCTAATTAGAATGCTTTACTCAAGGGCTGGTGAGATGGCTTAGTAATAATGGTGATTGCCACCACCAAGCTTGATGGCCTGGGTTATATCCCCGGGGTCTACATGGTAGAAGGAAACAACCTACTCTTGCAAGTTGTCCTGTGACCTCTACAAAAAGAAATAAAAGTTTTACTCAGAAGTTCTTTAGGAGATAGCCTTATTTTCCTGGTCCCACTCTCTCCTCTGCTGTCCCATCTCTAGCTTTCTCTCCTGTGGAGATTATTTACTTGTCAGCCATCCTATGCTTTCCTAACCCCCTTCTCAGGACCATCTCCTATTCCAATTTTCTGGAAAAGCCTACTCTCAGTTCCATCACCCTGTCCAGCTTAGAATTTTCTGCTTTCCTTGTTGTCTTTGTATATCATTTGTCAGTAAAATAATGTTTACTTCTATCTTTTTCTACCTATACCAATAAAGTCAAAATTTCCTGAATATAGGGTGGTATCTTTTATCCCTCTGCATATTTTGTAGGGCAAAAGAAGGCATCCGTGTTTAGTATGAAGTTGGGTAGGCATCCACATTTAGTATGTTGTTAGGCACATCTCAGAACAAGCCCTGGCCTGCAGATCATATAGGGATGTCATAAAATTAGTAGAAAGCCAGAAGGACCGAGGAAGAGCCTTTCAATTCTGAGTTGTCTTTGGAGGCTGAAACAGATGGATTAAATTGGTTGGTGTGGGGTTGCTCTGAGGTGAGACATTCTAGAAGCCCTTGAAGGGATAGTAAACATATAATAAAAATTTATTTTCCATTTTTAGCCCCCCCAAGTCCTCAGAATGATGCTTAAGTCTAGAACAAATATTACTAGAACAAATATTAGGGAACACCTGGCTTCTCTTTGCCACTCTTTCCTTACGTTAGCTTTCTTTTTGAAGTTGGTCAGGGAAATCATGGTACCTGAACCCAGTGACCTGTGCCACTCTTCCCAGGCGTCATTGTTTCAACCAGAGGAATTTAACAGCTAAAACATACCCTCTATATGTGAGTGCAAATATATATCTTGGGGCATGTCCATGCAGGTTCTTATTTTTACTATACATAAAACAAGACATGTACACATACTATTAATTAGGCACTGTGTAATGTTTCAGTACACATGCATACTGTCCTCTAGGTTTGTTCTCTCATGTGAGCTTATTTTTATATCTAGAGTAATTGTAGTGCTCTATCTTAGTTTTATTTACTTAGCATTATTGCAAAGTTTCCTCTCGTATCATTGAAGGTTCATCATAAATGTTTCTAATGGTTGCATAAAATCCCTTAGGATGGATATACGATAGTTTCTTGCTCCTTTGAAGAGGCATACATTCAGCCATAATTCACTCATTCAGTGAATAATTTTTGAGTTTCCAGCAGGTGCTTTCAGGAGGAGTAACCCATCAAAGTCTCTGTCTCTATGGACATTAAACATTAGCATGTTAGCTAAAGGAGGAGATGCAGTAAGTAAAGAAAAACCCAAAGGAAGATGCTTAAGTCTCACTAAGAAAGGAAAATAGATACAGGTGGTTGGAGAGAGGGAACAAGGTAGGAGAGGGAGTGCAGAAAGAAATTAAGGTGGAGATCAGACCTGGGGGCAGGGGGAGAATAGAGGGCCTGCAAAGAGAAGAGAAACCTTGGGTGGGGACTTCTCTGTGACAAGCTGGAGACCTAGGACAGGGTAGGCTTCTGGGAAGATATGGAGGTGACTCTAGCTGAGACTCCTATAGAAGGGGTCATGGAATCTAAAGAGGAGCCCTCTAATTAGACAGGATTCCTAGTGGAGAGGGGAGAACATCAAGTCATTCACATGTAAGGAGCTTTGACCCAAAATTTACCCCGCCTTCAAGATAGGCAGGGATAAAGATGGAGCAGAGATTGAGGGAAGGT